AAGGGAAGAGTCCTGAGATTCATTTCCTGCTCAAGGGACTCAACAAAGCAACCTAATCAGCAGCTCGAAAGAACAAAACAGCACTTGAATCAGTTTTAGGCTCTTTGTGCAAACACAGCATCCCCTTCCCACATCCCATGCTGGTGGGTACATGCACACACTTCCCAGACAGGCAAAAGCGGCAGAATACAGAATGAGTTTTATGTAGGCTGAGGTCTTAACCCAAAGCCTGATTCTCCATCGCTTTAATTGTAAATATTACCTGGAATTGAAACAGGGCTTCAAGAACTGCAGGTACAAAGTCTGGTCTTCAACGAGGCCCTTCCTGGCAAAATGCTAACCAGCGTTGTAAGGGCATAGTTGATGGGAGTTAACAGAACATTCCAAGAGTGGAAAATTCCTCTTGCTCTTTTCTTTTTTCTTCCCATAGCATTTAAATACCTCAGTACACTATCATTTTTAGCATAGGTCACTGTTGCTCAGGAGAACATTTATTCTCACTCTCCTACCCTCAAAATTTTTTTCTATAATGTCAGAATGGTTTTAATACTGTTCCAAACTCCAAAGTTTTAAATGTCAGACAAGCCTACAACACTTAGTTTACAGTAAGAACAACAAGTTGAGCTGTGGCAAAAGTGCATTATAAACAAACAAACACAAAAACCCACACTAACTGCCAATGCTATGCACTATATACTTGAGCCCAAACTGGATTTTAAATCTTTTCCTAGAGAGACCTACTTTTGCTACTGACATTAATATTTTTGAGAAAATGTGTGAGTTGCTGTAGAATTAATAGTAGATCTATGTAGATTGAAATTCCCAAGAGATTAAAAAACAAACAAACAAACAAACAAACTAAAAGCTGACACTCCTGGCAAATATAAAACTCGTGGACAAGTTGTCAAACATCAGATCTCAAGAGCACTAAAAGATTATGACAATGCAGAAGTTCAGTTCTGTTCATGATTTACCTCTAAACTAAAAGATCCTACAACATTATAAGCTGGAGCTCCTGTATACCTATGGCAGTAACACCAGAACCAAAGCCACAGTCAGGAACACTGTTTTTCAAAGACAATCTGGCAAATTGGCATATTTAACTTCCAAACTTCTTTTAGAAATTTGAGCAACTCCACTGAAACAGTTAACAGATTCACTGTTGATGCTCTTGTAACCACTCAATGTTATACATCATACATTATTTACAAGTCAAGCTCCTCATTTTCACGCAATTACTTGCAATTTCAACCTTTCATCAACTACCAGAAAGTTCACTTTTAAATGATTTAGAAAGGCAAAGAAATCAAAATGGGTTTGTATTATTTAACATTTATTGACAAGAAGGAAAAACTAATTTGTAACAAACCACATATTTACAATTTACAGAGGAGGAAAATACTCTTAAGACCAATGAAACTACACGCTCCAGTACTGGGACATATTTCTACCTGGATGGTAGTTAACAGTGTTCTTTAGAACTCCCTCCCATTAGATGATCTTCAGTCTGAAGGTGAACCTAGGGGGAAGAGGGCTCCGACAACACGCTTCCTGCAATTGGTCTAAAAAACAAAAAGAATAGAAATAAGCTCATCCAAATTAAGACAATTTTCAGTTACAAAATAATAGTGAAACATCTCTGTGCCATAGTGTTAGTTACTGCCAGTAACAACTTCCTATTCTCTTCACAGCAGCAAAGGTTTTAGAGCATCCACATATTCCAATGGCAAATCAATAAGAATATTAGTGTCAAATAATAATTATGACTTGAAAAAAAGCACATTAGTCTAATTCAATTAAACACACTCTCTAACAAACTGGTTCCTCTGTATGAAGTTTGGAGCTGTCAAAGCTACACGTGGCTGGAACACTTTTTCCACGACCAGGATGTTTTTCACATGCACTATGGGGACGCTATCTACTTCTACATTATGTATAAGCTTTGACTGGCAGACCCGTGAGTGTTGATTTAACAGGTAGATTTTGCTAATTGTGTGCCCCAAAATTCGAGCATCCAGCAGCCATTGCTCTCAGTGTAATCTTTAACAGTTCACTCTATCATTTTCCAGAGGCTGGTGCATGATAAGGGACACGATACACCCACTCAGTACCATGCTCCTTGGCCCAGGTGTCTACAAGGCTGTTTCAGAAATGAGTCCCATTATCTGATTCAATTCTATCTGGGGTGCCATGTCACCATAAGACTTGCTTTTCAAAGCCAAAGGTCACTTGATATAGAGTTTACAATCAGACTGTAATCCAGAATACACATACTCCGAAAGTCCACAACACCAAAGGAAGCTCATGGAAATTTTTTGCTAGTTGCTTTGGATAGAGCAGTTATTTTGTTGATCGTATCCATAAGGACCTGATGATATCTATTCTGCCATTTTATTCCTAAGAACTGGACCACCCTCCCATGCAGTTCCCTTGACCTTCCTTTGTTTTATGGCAAAGTTGGCTTCCAGAATTTGGATTATTTTCTTCCCTTCCTCAAAAACTTCCTCTGCTATGCTGCCCCACATGATGATATCATCAATGTACTGCAGGTGTTCAGGAGCTTCCCTCTTTTCCAAATCTGCCTGGATCAGCCCATGGTAAATGGCAGGGCTGTTTCCTCCTCTGGAGTAGTTGATTCCAGGTGTACTGGATACTCCTCCAAGTGAAAGCTAACTGTGGCTTGCACTCTGCTGCCAGAGGAATTGAGAAAAACATGCTGGCAGTGTGAGTAATGGCAAACAGCCAGTGATCCTGAAGGGCCACACACAGCTCACAGCCTACTCAGTCCAGGTTCTTCTTCAGACACCAGAGAAATCACAACAGAAGAATTCTCGATCAGAAAAGTCAAGCAGCAACAAGGTGTGAAAGGGCATATGACCCCATGTCAGCCAGATACCACGCGTAGTGAAGTGCACTGCCTCCCTGGGGCCCAGGTCAAGGATATTACTATGAGACTCTCTGGTCTGGTTTGCCCCTCTGATCATTATCCTCCACTGACAGTTCAGGCGGGCAGACATTAAATCACTGAAAGAAGCCTGAGGGCTATCAAAAAGGACCTCATGGGTCTGGAGCAGTTAATGGACAGTGCAGGAGTACAGGTGGTGCTTTCAACTATCCCTTCATGCGGCAGCGAGGGATAATGAGAGGAGCAGAAAAACCCTTGTGATAAATACCTGGTTAAGAAGCAGATGCCACCACAGGAATTTTGGCTTCATCGATCATGGGACGGCTTACTCTGTGCCAGCCTGATGGCTGCTGAGGAGGTCTGCTTGTATAAAAGGGGGAAAAGAATTCTGGCCCAGAAGCTGTCAGAGCTCATTGACAGGGCTTTAAACTAGGTTTGAAGGAGAAAAGGGATGATAGTGAGCCTGCCCACAACACAGGATATCATAGCTAAGTTAAAAGGACAAGGTGGTTTGATGATGAAGGGAACAGAGAGACTGAAGGTAAACACTACAAACGAATTAAGGAGTTATCCTCCAAGAAGGTAACAAGAACAGCTGCCCAGCTGAAGTGCCTCTACACCAACATCCACAGATTGGGAAACAAACTGGAGTTGGAAGCCACTGTGCTACTGGAAAACCATGATGCAGTTGCTATCACAGAAATCCGGTGGCATGATTCCCATGACCAGAGTGTGGCTGTTGATGGTTACAAGCTGTTCAGAAGGGACAGGCAAGGAAGAAGAGGAGGTGGCATCAGCCTCTGCATCAAGGAAAGAATAAAACACGAAGAGATTGACCCTAAAAAATGGCTATAAGCAAGTCCAAAGCCTACAAGTCAGAGTTAGAGACTGTGGCAAAAAGGGGAGCCTTGTGGTTGGGGTTTACTACAGGCCGCCTGATCAAGTGGAGCCTCTTGATTAAACCTTTCTCCAGCTACAGGAGGGCTCACGTGCACAGGCTCTCACCTTGTTGGGGGACTTCAACCACCCAGATATCTGCTGGAAAAGTAGCACGGTGAGCTAAAGGTGATTCAGGGGGCTCCTGGACTGTACTGAGGATAACTTCATGAGATAAGTAGCAGTCCCACCAAGGGAGAAAACAGTGCTGGACCTTTTGCACTTAGTTTGAATGAACTGATTGATAACACAAGGATAGGAGGCTGCTGAGCCATACTGACCATACAAATTGTGGAGTTCATGTTCTTGAGGAATATAAGACAGATAAAGAGTAAAATCAGGAAGCTTAATTTTAGGAAAGTCAAATTTCAGCTCTTCACGGAGTCAGTCAACAAAACCCCTTAGGAATCAGTCCTCGAGGACAAGGGAGCACAGCAGAGCTTTAAGAAAGCTTTCCTTTGGGCACACTAGCTCTTTATCCCCAAGTGAAGGAAGTCAGGAAAGAAAAGCAGAAGGCCAGCATGGCTGAACCAGGACCCACTTGTCAAACTGCAGAGCAATAAGAAAATGCACAGGCAGTAGAAGCAGCGACAGGTACCACAGGAAGAGTATAAGGAACCTGCTAGGCTGTGGAGGGATGGGGTCAGGAAAGTCAAGGCCCAACTGGAACCAGACTTAAGGAAAGAAGGGTAAGAAAGGCTTCAATAGGTACATCAACCAGAAAAGGAAAGCCCAAGACAGCATATCACCCCTTACTGAGCAACATAGTTAGGCTGGTAACAACAGAAAAGGAGAAGGCTGAGGTAACAATATTTTTGCCAGTCCTACTGAAAAAAAACCTGGTGGTATTGGTGCACTGGAAGGTGAACACAAGCCACTAGTGTGCCCTCTCAGCCCAGAGAGCCAACTGTACCCAGGGCTGCATCAAAAGAAGCATGGCCTGCAGGTCAAGGGAGGTGATCTTACCCCTCTCCTCTGCACTGGTGAGACCTCACCTGGAGAGCTGTACCCAGATGTGGAGTCCTCAATACATGGACCTGTTGAAACACTTCCAGAGGAGGACCACAAAAATGATCCAAGGGATGAAACACCGCTCCTACAAAGACAGGCTGAGAGAGTGCCTGTTCAGCCTGGAGAAGGCTTTGAGGTGACCTGATAGCAGCCTTTCAATACCTAAAATGGGGCTATAAAAAAAGAAGGGGACAGATTCTTTAGCAGGGTCTGCTATAACAAGACAAGGGCAAATTGCTTCAAACTGTAAGAGGGAATAGTTAGACGGGATTTCAGAAGTTTTTTAAAGTAAAGGTAGTGAAGCATTGGGACAAGTTGCCCAGAGGTGGTGGATGCCCCATCTCTGAAGACATTCAATGTCAGGCTGGACAGGGCTCCAAGCACTGCATGTAGCTGTAAGCACCCCTGTTCATTGCAGGGGAATTGGGCTAGATGACCTTTAAAGGTCCCTTCCAACTCAAACAATTCTATGATTCCATGATATTTGTGCTCATGCAAATCCGCAACAGTGGGCACATGCTTCCATGCTAGACCTCTGTGCCAAAAGCATTCCCACAGGTAACAGGAATGAAGATGTAAGAGCAGGTGAATGCCTGCTCTAGGCTGCCAACATAAAATCAGGACATGGCGTGGTGCCTAAGCGATGGCAGAGCCACAGAAAAATTGTGCCAAGGCAAAAGATATCACCAGCATGCTGAATTAGTGCTACAAGAGGTGCAGAAAGCACACGTTGATGCTCTGTGTTATGCTTGGCCAGGTGAAATGGCATTGAAAAGGATTCTTTTAGCAATGCAGAGCCAGCCTCGTGCTTGAGGGATGTGGTTCAAGGACAACCATGTGTGCCTGGAGAGGTGTCAGTTCCGCTTCTGCAGTCCGAAAAAAGGCAGATGACAATGATAAACACCTTGCCAGTAATGTCCTAAGCCAACCTTCTTGGGATTAAAACTATGAAGTCTTTAAGAGGACAGAGGCCAAAGGAAGCATTGCATCACTTCACTCAGCACGAGAACTGGGAGCGTTGCCAGGCCTTGTACAAAGCTCAAAGGAGAGGAGCCAGAGGATCACCTCTGAAATAATTCAAATATCTGGAACTGAATTAGAAAAGTAATAGTCACTGCAAACAGCACTAACCTAAAAAAAAAAAAAAAAAAGAGACCTTTGAAGAGGGCACTGGAATACTCCCCCTCCCCCAAATTACTTCAGGCAGCAAAACAAAAAATGCAGGAAGAGAATATTCTAACTTGATACAGGATGTGAGAGAATTGAGATGGTGGCAAATGAATGCCTCCTTACACAGCCACTACAAGGAGCAAAAGGAGAGACAAAAAGACACACCTTGAACAGATAAGGCAAGGTAACAACTGCCAGCTTGCATAGCAGGATACAGCGCATCACACTGGTAGCATGTGTGTATAGATTTCCACAAAGAAAAGGAAGTTGTGATCAACATTTTTGTAATATACATACTACTTTTTAGTATTACAGTTTCAGGAATAATTTGAGTTCAAGAAAAATCAAGAGAAAAACCTGGACACTTAAGCAAGTTCTTAAACCATGCATACATCCAATACGTTAAAAAAATGTACATCTGCACACATAGTCATATGGAAATGGCCAAGGAGAGGTGGAAGATTGGGGCATGCACCTCATTTGCAGCCCTCAGCATCTTGCCAGAGTTGAGCTTTGCAGCAAAACAAATGCAAGCTTAAAAAACCCTTCAGAAGAATAGCTAAATTACTTTCAGTAAAAACAGTATTACTGTAAGCAGTAAGCCCCTCTTCCTTCTCTTTTTTTCCCCTCATCGGGAAACACAAGTATGTCATGCGATGCGGCAGCGTGGGTGTTAGATGTAAGCAACAGAAGCCATTTCATGACAAGGTAATGACTTCTGTGAACTTAAGTGCTCTTAGCAACCAAACAAAATGAAGCTGTTATAAATTCTGATGAGATAATCCACTCAAAGTAATTTGTTTGGAAAGGTTAAATAGGATGCTAAGATGGTACACTGCTGAACAAAGAGGCAAAAAAAAAAAAAAAAAAAAAAAAAAATCAAACATTTAGTGCTGCTTTTTCTTCAAAACATATTGAGACTTTTATTGCTAGCTAGAATTCTGCTCAAGTCAGGCAGCCGTGTTCAGATTCCCACACCAGCTTTTGCATTAAGTTACACTAAGAGTGCACAGTAAAGCTGAGTTGCTTAAGAAGCAAACGTGTTCTAATATGAAGAAAATCAGCCATAATAAAGTCAGAAAGCATTTGCTGGATGCAGAAAGGCCTCTGCAATTATCACTTAATTGTCCTTCATGGGCCAATACTGGGAGTCTCATACTTTCCCCTTAAGGTTGATCCCTCCTTCAGCACTTCTTCTTAACCGGCTACTTAATTAGTCTTCCTTCCTGGACTTAATTGTAAATTTGTTTTGATTAATTAGCCTCAGAGCTGACTTAGCGCTTACTGAAATACAGGAGAAGTGCTTAGTTTCTTCAGCTTATAGCCTACTGTACCCTATGGGAGCCCCTGCTTTGTCAGCATTAAAATTTCCAGTTCAGATTGTGGAAGAACTTTTTCGTAATTAGTTTCCTTCATTGTAATTACCCCCTCCGTAATACAACACAAAAGTGGTGATAAAGAAAGGCCAAGATTTAATACGTTCACGTCTCTTGTCCAGAGGATTCTATTTCATGTTTACTAGTTCAATCTTCTAACTCTAGTCAAGCTAAATGCAACTCATCACAGCACTAACCCAATCCCAAGCCAAGAGAGTAAGCTGCCAGCAAGACACCTGCATTCTGATGGCACCAACACCAGAAAGGTTTCCCTCCCCTTCAGAAAAGTCATGTTCTGCTACTGAATTTCATGGAAAACCCTTAGTGCAACCCTAGGCAAGCCAGTCTGCCACAACTTTGGACACCAGAACACTTATTTGAGAAGCAGTGTAGCTCTTCATTATGTTCACATCTCTCATACCATTCCTCTCCCTCTTTACACCATGTTGATACCAGAAGACACCCACATGGTGATACCTTATCTCTGATATTTTGATCCATTCTTGCTTCAGCTAATGATGCAGGAAAGGGCAACTTCCACACAAGCATGTAAAAACACTGAGATAAGTGATGTGCATCATCAGCAATCCTACTGTAATGAGTTTATTATTTATTTGAAGTTTTGGCAATTGAAAGTGTTCGGGGGAACAAAAGAAAGGGTGCTGCAGGAGCAGCCTCTGAGAAAGGAATGAGAAAGCTGTGAGACAAACAGATCTGCAATCAGTGCAGGAGCAGCAGGCAAATCCTGAAGGAGGCCACAGCCCATGGAGAGTTCCTGCAGGTGCAGGACTCGGGCTGGAGCTGCAGTCCATCAAGAGGAGCCCAAGATGGAACAGATGATCCATCAGGAACTTTGGTCCTTGGGGATCTCTGCTGGAGCAGTCCATTCCTGAAGGACTGCACCTGTGGTATTGTTCCCTGCTAGAGCAAGGGGGGGAGGGGGGCAAGGAGAATGCAACAGGAGAAACTAAGTAGTATGGACCCTACTGTTCAGCTCAAGTAAGAGCGAAGAAGGAATTGTGAGCATAGCTCACCTTTCTGAGGAGAAGGGAAAAGGTGTTTTTAGTTTTAATTTTCACTGTCCTACTCTTATTTTTGACTTGCAGTAATTTAACCTTCCCAACTTAAGTCTGTTTGGGCTATGATGGTAATTGGTGAGTAATCCCCCTGTCCTTATGTCAAGTTGGGAGCTTTTTCATCTTTCTTTCTCCTTCTGCCCTGCTGAGGGAGAGGAGTGAGAGACTGTGGCTGGCTGCTGGCCAAGGTCAACCCACTGCACCTACTCATTTTATAAACTTCCCACACAGCTATCAAGAGCACTGCAATTCTTCAGTTTCCAAATTTAGAAGTCCTTACCTATCAAGCTGCAAAGAGAAGCGTAAAATCTTACTTATCTTTTTCTGTGAACACTTAGATTTACATCTCAATTCAACAGACTGAGAAAATATACACTTGGCTTCCTTCAGCTCATTTCATTTATTGCTTGTCTTGTGCCCTAAACAAGAAAAGACTACAGAAATGCAAAGCACATGGAGTTTTACAGTCTTTTGTGTATCTTTGCTTGGGTACAGCAGCTCAAATGAAGGAAAAAAAAGAACACAGGTTTATTGTTGGGGCTCAAGAATACTGAGCAACTCCCGTAACATGTTCATTCCGTAATGCTAAGCAGCCAACTGTTTTGACTGGTGCCAACTATTTGTTTTCATTTTCAAACTGGACCATAGAAATCAGTTTAATTGTGAATTCTAAAGGAAGGTTTTCCTATATGACTAGAGAAATGCGTCAGCGAGAGCTCTTCTGACTCAGCCCGTGAGCACCCACATAAAGCAATAGGATATTAAGGTGCTCACTTGCAGCCGTCAACGCCATGAGAGCCACGTTCCACACACTGCAGATGGATGTATTGATGGAGTCAATCACTGCTTAAATGCTGTATTACAATACACATCATGCAGTAGAGCGTATCACGAGAAAGGCAAGAAACATTTCTTCATGCTGAAATGCATTTTTAGCTATTACAAAAATGAGGAAAATGCTCGTTAGTTTATATTGTATTCCTCAGATGTTAATTTAATTACAGATAACTAATTCAGGTGCGTACTCGAAAAAATAGAAGGAATTGTATATGCACTTCAAAAGTCTGTTTTATCACTGCTGTTTATTTCTCTGTAATCACTCAGCTCACATTCTCCTATGTTGTGTTTACCAAGTAATATAAATATGGATGCACACACATCTGATGGCTTTGCAACCATTCTCCTGCATCCTCCTTCAAATTACACAGAAAAGCTTTCTTCACTAAGACAAACAATTTTATAAGAAAATGAAATCCTGAAAACATTAGATTTTTCTAAAGAACCTAATAAACACCAAGTCCTTTTTCTCAAAGGAAGCCACAGCCTTGAAAAAAATCTAACTTTTCCACTGTGGAGTCATTGCCAGTTAAGCTCCCTTAACGTGTTTCTAGGTTGCTATCAAAACACTCACCACAGGACACATTTACCATCCAACATTAAGTTTCAGCTCTCTCAACTACTGCTGACAGAAAGTAATGAGTTAACATTTTAAACCAGAGTTCCTCAAAGAACAGTCTATGTACCCAAGTAGCAGCAGAGCATCCCGACTTGAGTTCACAGCACATAACGCCAGCTAACAATTTGAGCATAACAAAGCAATTACAAACCTGGCTCCGATCCCTACTACTGTTAGAGATATTTTCTGTATTCTACTATAAACAAAACGTTGTGCTATCTGAACTGAATATATGAACCACTGAAGTCTAGGAAATAATTTAAGCACTGTTTTAAAAGCTGCAATGTGGAAAAAGCATTAGAGAGACCCTAAAAATATATATTTAAGCTACAGCCCACAACATGTTCTGCATGGGCTATTTCCTTAGCATTTTACCCAGTCCAGACTTCACCACATATCTGTTTGAAACCATCATAGTAGTCTGTGGAAACTGGATTACTAAACAAAGTAGAAAATACACCAATTAAAAGAATCACTTATTGGCAGGAAGAAAAATGCTAAGTTCTCAGATTTCAGAGGGATTTTTCATATTAATTTCTTTGCAATATCTCTTCCATCAAAGGAAAAACAGGAACTGCCAAAGGTTACCAGTAGTCTGACATACACAGCAATGTAGGAAGCAGGAGCCACAGCAAGACCAAGCAGAGGTGAAACATCAACTTTTTCCTTCCAATGACCAGTTCTCATTTGCCACACTGCACAACTCAGCACCCACAGGAGCCCTGGAATGCAAACAGAACTTTGCAACTCAAGCTGTAGATTCTCCTCCATTTCCATTTCCATGTACTACAAGACATCAAGTGTCAAGTTAAAACAAAAAATGCAGTCTAGACAATGGGGAAACAATCTAGCACAACTCAGCTCCTGCTGTGCACTACTGTTTTTAAAAAAAAAAAGTTGCAGACACACACAACTGTGTGTGTCTGCAACTAGTTCAACTTGCATGCTAACAGAATGAACTTTGCAAGGTTCAGTGCCAAATTCTAATGTTAATGGAAACTGATAACAGAATTCAATTGACTTTACCTGCATTTGTAACACACTCTTCTTCCCAAAAGAATTCACAAAAGCCAAACCCTACTGAGTATGGATATTAGTCAAGGACAAACAGCTGTGCTTGAAGCACCATCTAGTGGCAAATAGTGGAATTGTTCCTTTAGATAAGGCAAGATTAAGAACTTTGTTGTACTTTGTAAAAAAGTGAATTTCCATTTTCTCTTTTCCTTCCCAAAATAAGATATTTTTCCTATAATGATAGAACATTGGAGCCACTTAAACTACTTTACAAAATCATGCTCTGTTTTCACTGCAGACCTAAAGATACTTCTTAGTCAACTTGCAGCAAAATACAAGTTATGTGACTATTTCTTTAGTTTAAACTAACACTGTGAAGAAAAAGAACTGATGAAATGAATAACTGATTTGAGCAAGTACTTTTTCAAAACTGTGCAAACTGCAAGAAACATCCTTGACATAACTGATTTTACTACTCAAACAAAAAACACTGAGATGCTGCTCAACAGCGGAAATGTTTTGTGCATACTATGTTGAACATTTCACACAAGAAATCAGCTAGCTACGAAGCAACCAAACCACTTAGTCTAAAAAGTTACTTACTTTTCCAAACCCACAGTACTCCTCCATTGACACTCAGTCACAGTTAAAAAGAACAAACTGGCACTTGTGGCAATCTGATGCTGAACTTGCACTTAAACATCTGCCATTTTCCAGTCTGTGGCAAGAACCCACCTGCATCCACTTCTGCTTAAAATATTCAGCAGGATGGATTCCTCATCACTTACTCGAGAACCAAAGAAAATCCACTCAAAACCTTGCTGCCAAGTTGAGAAAAGACAACAGCCAGGCAATGCTTTACCTCCATCGGAACCGACCAAACTAAAACACACTCCTGCAAAGTGGCAAGCTGCCTTGAGTTCTGTGACAATACACACCTACATTTTCCTTTAAGGCCACCAGCTCCACAGTCCATACACATTCACCAACACCTTCACAAGACATTCTTCTTCTATCCAATCTTAGCAGGCAGATGTTCTGGAAAGTTTGTTCTGCATTCTCTTCTTTCTGAACTCCCTGGTGGCCTTCAACACTAAAGTTTCTACTTTCCATTTTTCTACTTATGCCCTGACTGCTGGGAGACATGCTTTGGATAGGAGCAGAGGTTCTTTAGGTCTAGTGCTAGCCTTCTATTCTTTTCCAAGTGGAAAACTTCCAGATCTCTGTGGGCCTCCCTAAAGAGTTTAAAGCCTTAAAGACAGAAGGCTTTACAGGTGGGATTCCCTCAAGCAGTGGAGACAGCGTGTGACCGTTTGGTAGCTGGCATGGCTCCAAAGCAGAAGGGACATTTTAATCTCACTAACCTTGAGGAGGCCAGTGAAGCCCGTAAGTTATAAGTGCTGCCAAAATCAAGTTATCAGCTACAACTGACTTTAAAAGGAAAAAGAACCACCTTATTTTAAACCACTTATAAAATTTGAGGCTGAGCAGAAAATAAGTTGCTTCCCTGCAAACTTAACCTTGACTGCAAATAGTTTTTAGCAAGAAGATGAGCTAAATGGTTATTGCCATACTCCTGTTTCATCTACTCAGGAATCCAGTGAGACCTAGACACCAAATGCAAAGATGCTATCTAACTTCTAAGTATGTACAAAGTCAGCCTTTCTATTCACTACCGGAAAGAATGCTTGAAAGAGAATGAAAGAAGTGTATGCATAAAATTCACCCATCTAAAACATCTCTCACACCGAAATTGTAGCCTCAGTGTCTTAGCCTTTTCTGACACACAGTTTACTTCTCACCTGTAAGGTTTTTGTTTGTTTCTTCATGGTAAGCACTAAAGCCAGTTCATCTTCCCTGCTTTAATTGGTACTCTAGATTTAATGTAAGATCATGGTCACGGCTGCTTACTAGGTCAGTCCTCAATCCTCAAGTATTCAGCCCCTGAACAGTTTCCAATTCAATTTTCTCTCTTTCTCTTCTAGAATTGCATTGACCACACTTAGAAAACACTCTACCAGAGTAGCTGCAGCTTATTCTTATGTTCAGCCAGAAGGAACCTTGAAGAACATAGGAGACAAATGTTATGTGTACCATCTGCTGTCTAGACCTGGCTTCTGGAGTATGCAGTTTAATTACAGTTTTCCCAAAGGTCATCATTATAATTTGTTAATCAAAACAAAAGAAGATATTAAAATAACATATTTGGCAATGACCTATCACTGTTACACAAAATAAAGCTATCCACAACATCCAGGGCTTTAATATAAAAAATAGAACTAATACAAATTTTAGGTACTAAACATACCCCTGCTAGATGAGGAAAAAACTGCTGCCATGAACATATTAGAAGAATGCTGGACTCTAGCACACAAGCATTCCATCAGTCCATCTCCTAGACAGCAATTACTGAAGTACAAACAGTATGGCAAAGAGGGATTATTCTGAGATTTATATCAGGCAGACAATAAGTCCAACAGATGTTAGCTGAGTTATCTGACATTGTCAAAATCAAGTGCTAAGCATTTTTGGGAGATTAGGTAGAAAAGTGCACTTTGGAAAAATATGTTTTTCCCACCAGTTTTCAAGTATATCTTACTGTCTTTGGATGAGAAAAGTGCCCGTCACAAAGCGAGGCCCTTCACTGCTTCACAGAAGTTTGAGAGTAAACGTCTGAGTTGGTTTTGTAGCTCTATGTTGATTTCCTCAGTTCTGCCTTAGTTTGTAAAGTTAACGTGGGTGCACTTAACCATACTTTGTATGCAAAAAAAAAATTTCAAAAAAATGCAAGAGCTTAAAAAGTACTTCAAGCAACTTCTTGGAAGAAAGTTCTTCACCTGTCATTTTTGAGTTGTGTGAAATGAAGAACACTTTCCTCATTCAGAAGATTACGTACATTATATCCATTTCCTATAAATAAAAACAGAAAAGGTTTTCTTTAGAAGCCAACAGTAATTTTTGAAGTCCTGTCCTGACTTCAACAACTACATTTTTATTTTGTATATTTTACCAGTTTTAAAGCTGCTTGTTAAATGAGCCCTGAAGCCAAGGTAAACAAGCAGTGTTTGTATCACAACATCTAGATCAGTTCATCAACCGTGCCCATTGTAGGGTCACATTCCCTTCTTCCTCATGGGTACTTCCCCATTCTCTACTCAAACTTAACTCTCCCAACCATTCTCCTCAGTATTCCTTCCTAATACGGTAATTTAGTCTAATCCGTTCCCAACAAATTGATTTTTGAAGACATGCACTTACCTGCTGGAACATAGAAATAATCCCCTGAAGTCAGGTAATATGATGTCTTATGCAAGGTGATAATAATCTGGCCACGGATAACATAGAAAGCCTTAATGGAAAGCCAAAAGATTCTAAGATTAGCAACATCTCCTTTACAAAAATTTAAGTTATCCAAGAAAAAGTAATGTTTTGTTCATACTTTGTAATGAAGTAGAACAATAAACTGAGCTGCAACTCCTTTCCTCCTCCCCATTGAAAATTAAGATGCACAGCTTGAAAGGTGGCAGGGGGACAATTTTGATTTAATACTTCTATCTTGCTTGCAATCCATTCAGTAAGCAGACATGGACATGCATGATAAATGTGAAAGAAAGAAGAATAATGTGCATGTAAAATTACCTCTAGGAATTTCCTTTAGTTTTAACTGTTTAATTTCACAACTGTTACAGTTTGTATTTCCTATATATATATATATATATATATATATATATATATATATATATATAGTATGTATATATATATGTATATATAAAATATATATATCCATATATATATATATTGTGTATATCCATATATATACACACACTGTATATATATATATATGGATATACATATATATATATATGGATATATATATATATATATATATATCTCCACATTTTAGGGGAAAAAATATGAAAAACCCATTAACTCCACATACTAATTCTAACTATTCTAATACTTTGGTCACAAAGATAATCAGAGGGCTGGAGCACATCTCCTACAAAGACAGGCTGATGGAACTAGGTTTGTTCAGCCCAGAGAAGAGAAGGCTTCATGGAGACTTGATAGTGGCCATCCAGTATTTAAAAGGGAGCTTTTAAGCAGGATGGAAACTTTTTGCGGAGGTAGAGATAGGACAAGGGGGAATGGTTTTTAACTAAAAAAGGAAGGTTTTAGAGTAGATGTCAGAATGGTGAAGCCTTAGCATAGGATGCCCAGAGAGGCTGTGAACGCTCTATCCCTGGAGGTGCTCAAGGTCAGGTTGGATGAGATCCTGGGCACCTCACAATCCAGTGCCTGATTCAGTGGTTGATAATCCTGCCCTCGGCAGGAGGAGGTTGGAACAATGTGATCTTTGAGGTCCCTTCCAAGTCATTCTATGATCCTGTGATTTTCTGTTTACCTATAAACCATTAAAGAAGTATGGAAAAAGTGTACTTACTATTGTATCCATGTGGACAAACTGGTGTCCCTTTTCTTTAAGAGGTTTCAAGATCAATTTACCAGCAGCAAAATCAGATGTATTCAAACTTTTATATACTTTTATTGATTCATCTTCGAAGAAACATGAGTGACTGCTTCCAGAGTTAACACACTCTGCAAGGAAAGTCATAAGATTAAATGCTATTATTAACACAGTCATCTTCTTAGTTCTGCCTCTTTTTAAACTACATATCCTATGCATTGTTTCAGTGCAGCAACCCCACCAGTCACACTTAATCATCAGCTGGAAAAAAAAAATAATCAGGACATTTGACTTCCTCTTTTTCTGTCTCTCAAAATGTTGTCTGGAAAAGCAATGAATATTTCAACAGCTCACCTTTTTATGCCTCAAAATGAATGAGCAGTCTTCTTCCTACAGCAGTCCATACCTAAAAGCTTACTACATAATATAGAAAGGTCCTTGGTTATATCCCTTTATCTTACCTAGAAGAACTTCTTGATTTGTTACTGGATCCAGTATGCTGGTTGGCTTAGAGGCATCAGCCAGGTGGATATCCAAACATTTCGCTACCTCACTTCCTAAGGAGACAAAAAAAAAAATACAGGAGAGTAATCACTCCACAACTGAAATACTTATTTAATCACAATTTTGGATTTCAGACAAGTTACTGAATTTGCCGTATTAAGTGACTAAACAGATTAAAGCCCGCTTTCTTCTGATAGAAGAAAAAATATATAACTGTTCTTTGAAGATATAATTTTTTTCATCAGAAAAATTTCCATCTGTGATTGGTAAAGGGACTCTAAATCAAAAAGAAATTCTCAGAGCAATGCCAATGATATTGCTTGTGCTATTAACAGTAGCATTTATTCAAAAGTAGCTGCATTTTAGGAGAAGAACTCTTTTAGAAACAGAATATTAAGAAAGGATATAAAATACATGCTAACTTAGAAAAGCAAGTCTTTTCCTTTTACAACTGCTGATGGGCATCAAGAGACTTAAAAGAGAGAAAGTGCTCAAAAAGAACAACTACATGTTCACTTTTCCTTGTCTCAAGAGACACTATTTACAGGAATCTCATCCTAAGTTGTAAATCAGGGAATATTTTCTATCATATAATGCATTTTTCCGGAGAAGACAATAGCCTAAGAGTTTATGACAATCATATACTTTTCAAAGGGAAAAGAGACTCTGGAGAATTTTTAAGACGAAACAAATATCCCAAAGGTCTCTTGGAGAGATAACTCTTGTAAGTAGGCGAGTTTAATTCCATAGTGCACAGGAAATTCCTCTAAATGTAGTAAGAAAAAGGATGTCAAAGGCAAGCTATAGCACTTTATAGGCACTCATGTCTGCTCAAGCACTATGCAGAGACAACCAGGGCTAAGAGACTGAAAAAGTTTTGTTCAAAATAACACTTCTATAAAAAGAGACAGCAATAGGTGCAACTCTATAGCCCTATCCAGGAATTTTTATTGTATCATTAAAATTCAGGAATTTATTCTAGAAATTCAATTCAGCTAATGGGTCTCGTACATGTTGCTCTTTTGTGAACACCCTTGAATTTTAAGTATCTCAGGAATAATGTCTGGTAAACAGATAACACATAACTTCTAGAGACAGCTCAAAGAAACATAAAGCAGCCAATATTTTTTGTAACATACATATGAACAGTCACTACCAGCTCAAGTTTCCACAAACTTGCAAATAAACTTAAAAGCTGCACTCAGATCAAAGGTTCAGATAAATTAGAATCTTGTCTCCTCCAGTGGCCAAAAGCAGGCACACCTTTTACCTCCCAGAATACTGTAATGGAGCAATAGCTTCCACAGAATATCTTCCACTTCTATGTGTAGTTTGCTTTATTGAAGACCTATTAACAGTTAAGTCTTCTATGAATTTATCCTGTTCTTGCACTGAATGTACAAAAATATTTCTCTCCACAGTATTCTGTGTTAAGGAATACACAACAGGCAGTGAAAAAAGCTTATTTTCTGTGAAAAACTCAGGTGGCGCTATCTTCCCTTTACACTTTTTAGCTCTTGTGATAAAAGAAAAAATGTTTATTTCCCTTCTCCATGCCACTTGTGGTTTTATAGTTTTATCTCACACCACTGCAGTGTTTCCAGGGCCAAGGAGCCTTCACTTATGTTGCTGCTTCTGGTACATAAATCCTTCCATGTCTTCAGAAAGCTTATTCTGAACCTCCTCTAGCCCTACAACTTTCTTTATGTGGTAAAGAAACAAGTGCAGCAGAAACACGCAGCAGAAATTCGCACCAATATTCTCTGTTATCTCCCTTATTCTTTCTCCAGTGATCTGTTCATCCATGTTTTGTTTTGGAATTGTGTCAGGACGACCACAGTGTTCTCTCTCTCCATCCTTGTTAGCATTTATTTCCTCTACAATTTCACACAGAAACACAGCAGTAACAAACAAAAGCTCCAGTGTGTCCCCATACAGAAAGGCTCTTTTGCATCAAAATCTCTTCCAGAGAGAGAGTGCGCACAGAAAAAAATTAATTAGGTTTCTGGACTCTGATCCTGCCTCCCTTCTGAGCACTACCTGTGCACTGCAAACAGTCTAGCAAAGCTTCCCATTCCTGGGCATTTAAGCATCTATTTATTGCCTACTTTTATCTATTTTGTGGATTGTTTGTAAATCTCTATTCACCTAGATCACGTGTTTGAATTTAACTCACATTCAGATGTGATATTACAGTTGGTAGCAACAAAACAACCAGAAGTTTTTATACCTTAATTATGCATTATAAAATGGAACACATGAGCATCATAAAGGAAGTACAGCTTATTTTCTTTCATCTCAGCTTTAAGGGCACCACAACACCTCAGGAGCAGTGATTTCTCTCTTCCTTCCCAACCCAGTGAAGTTTCAGACAGCACTGGTGCACTATAGTAAGAGGAATGCATTTTTTTTTGCATCAGATCACTAACATATTCCATTACAAAAAGATCTTCAGTTAGAGAATCTGGAGCTGTCACAGGAGAAAAAACTTGGAGCAAAAGAAAATTCATTACAGAAGGGTTTTTCTGAAGTGTCAAAAGAAGAGGGATAAAGTCTGCATTTATACTTGTTCTAGCTCTTTTCTGCTTATGATGACTCTTCGGCTTATTCTTCATTTGAGGTTCTGCTTCTGCACCTGCTATTCCACTAATTAAAAGCCTTCCTGAAAGAAAAGAAAGTTGAGTGAAACTCAGTGACACATACTAATTATTTTAATTATTTTACAAGAACAAAGATTTGCACACTCTATGATCATTTTAGTTTGGTATATATTTCCTTGATGCTCAACTTTTTACATAGCTTTAGAAAGCCAGAACAAAATCAAAAAGCTTCAGAACATCAAGTACCTGAGAGTGCAACACGCTTTTGAGATTTTAAAGAAAAGGGCACGATGGTAGTATGTTCAAGGAACTTTTCAGAAAGCCAGAACATGAGAGTTAAGTTTTAAGACAAAGTATTGACTTCAGGGACAAAAGGAAATACTATTTCCAAGCGGACTGATGAATCAGCAAAAGACCAAATTAGTCTGAGTACAAGATGTATTCCATCACCAAGGTATTTAATGCTGAGATTAGATAAAACGTTACAGTATCTGCTCTAGAAAGCAGTGCCCACGCAATTAAAAATGCTCCCAAAAATGATCCAATAAGCAGCTCCTGCTGTCACAGAACGTCTAACAAACACACTAGTGCAAATCTTTTTTTAAAATTTGCTAAATTGTTAATGCAAGTTTATTTAACATCTTCTGCTTAAATTACTTCCAGCTTAAACAAGGATGCTGGGAGAAAGACTAATCAGCTGAAGACCATAAATAAGTGACTTCTTTAAAGTTCACAAATAGTAAGCATCTCAGGGCTTTGATAGCACAGGATCAAACCACAGATCTCCCTTTACTGCCCTATCAGGAACAAGGAGATGGGTATTTTGGAAACTTGTACCTGAAGGCTTCAATGTATAGGTCACTCGCTCTCCTCGCCAATATTCCAGAGGTTTAAGTCGTATCCTTTTTGTCCGACGAACATTAGGCGTGTTGGAAGGCAGCACTAATTTAAAGGATGAAATAATTTCTAAGTCATTTTCATACTTACTGTGAACGTATTTAATTAGAAATAACATTTAGAAAGCATTAAGCAATCTGCTGTTATTCCATCTCAAGGCATCAGCGCTTCCCAGCTGATATTTATACCACTTCGCTTTCACGACAAAAAAAAGGGAATAAGGTATTGCCAGTAGCCTCCTTTTGCATTCATTATTACTTCACTCTGCTTTTTGTTAAACAGTCACCATGCTAGCTTGACATTGGATTTCTTTCTACATATCTTAGTCAAGCTCTGACATACAGACATTAGGAGCTCAGGAATACAGAGAAGCAAATATACTTTAACTGTGAAGACAAACTCCTCAAAAATGACTAAGAATCTTCCTCAAATTTGAAGGACTTCGTCAGCAAAAGTGAAAAGGTTTCACCTTTCTTATGGCAAGAGAAAAGTAACAGAGGGTGCCTGAGCTGCCTCTCTTCTCTCCCAAATTCTTAAGTTCCATCTCCAAGGTCTGGAAAAAGAACAGTACTCTTGCCAACAGAAAATCCCATGCATTTCCAAGACTCCTCAGATATTCATCTTCTGACTTAATAGAATCTCAACTTCAATTTTTCTAAGCTGCAATGTATGAATACAGTAAGAATTTTACATTTTGTAAGAAAAAAATAAAGGCTCCTTTAAGAGTTGAGAACAAATTAGTCAAGAATATTTAAATGCTAAAAATAAAAAACGGTAAATTAAAAACAACAACAGGCTTTGCCTATATTATTTTGTGCACAACAATATAGTTGTGTACCTTCAAAAACTATAATGGAGGAAATAACAAAAACAGATTAGCATGGGATTACAATCCACCACGTGCCCATTGTGCCATCCTCTCCCACAGGACCAATTCAGATATCACAGAAGGCAGCTTATCTGCACCCTAAGTTGCACTGTGCAAGATTAATTCAAACCCTCTCACTGAACTGTAAGCAATGTGCTAACTCAAAAAGCTGAAAATGGGACAATTAAAACGGTGACTGTTGAACATAGAAAAAAAAGAAGTTAAAAAAAAAAAAATAGAGTAGGGCTATGTAGTACTCCAAAGAGGAAGTAACAAGTCCTGTCTATAAACATGTCCCATGCATTTTCCAGATTGCTTTCCAGATCTCATTCAACTTATAATTATGATTTTGAGTACTCTACATTTGCATGAAGTGTTAAAGATGCTTAGTGAATTAACAAATTCACTCATTTGTGATTAGTGAATCATAGATTTCCAGGTGTTCTCCTGTGTTTCCTTCAGCAAAAATTTACATCAAGTTGGAAGTGTCTTTATATTTCTGCACTTACGTTAAGGTATTTTAAAATAATCTTACCTATTTTTTGCCTGCCTATCTCGTCTGACAGCAGATTTTTTATTTGACAATGCAGGTCTTCAGAATTATCTGAAAATACATTTAAAAAGCCATCACAATAGGCATTTATTTACTACTCGTGACTTTTATTCAATCCATCGCCAAGACCCACAACTCCCAACGTTAATGTTCCCTCTGACGTTTTTTCTTTAAAGATTCATGAAACCCAGTGTAGATAAATATGTAATTTATGTATGCATTAAAAAGCATAAGCTTAAAATGTACAGGAAAACTATGCATTCAAGTAAATATTCCTCAGACATTTCTCTCTAAAAAAATCTCTCTAAAAAGTATTGTAACTACATGCACAATTTTACTGACTGAAGTGTGAGATCATTCAGCTTTATGCCCCCCAGTATAACTTCAAATTAAACTTATTAGAAAAGCCATAAAACTATGTCTGAAAAAAAAAACCCACGACATGAACTAAACAACACTCTTAACTGGTTTAAAAGGAAGGAAAAGACTTTCAACCTCCAGGGTTCACACTCATTACAGCAGCACATTTAACTTGCGTAGAGCAACTTAACACAGAAAACCAAGATTTTTTAGGTGAACAGGCCATACAGTGGGAAACTTAGCTCTACAGTGGCCTGAAGTGATTAAATACAGTATCTCTACATGACAATGCATGGAATTGGTTCAGACTTGTTCTGCTCACAAAGAAGCAAAATTGCTTCTGAGAGGTTCTTGGCAATACCAGGCAAAGCATCCACAGGTAGGCCAGCAGTCATACACAGCAAGAAGAGTTGAAGGGGCTCTCTGGCTATGCAGCACTCCTTCTGAGGAAGCAGCCTAGGTGCAAGAGATGCTCTCCCTTCAGCAGCTGGCCCTTGCATGAGCCCAGTGTGGCTCCAGCCTGAGTCCACCCCTTCTGGTCACCTGGGGAGCACAGGTGCAAACAGTGTGCCTGTGCCCCCTAGGCCAGCCACATCCCTTCACCAGGTGCTCACTCACCAGTTCAAGCTGTGACCTAATAGTTCCCTTACAAACCTGAGCCTACAAAATTTGCTCTGAGTATTGTGCAAGGACAACTGTATCCTGAAAGGCTTGATGCCAGACCACACAGTGCTTGTCCTTACACAGCTAAAACAGCATGAAGCTGGTTGGTATTGTACAACGTACTTGGGCAGAACTGCAATTACAGCCAATTCAACCTGCACTTCTTATTCTGAAGAACAAGAGCTGAGGATACAAGAGAAATCACTGTGCAATCACAGCCTAAGTAGCTCATACATACAATGCATGAAAATACCAACTTCAAATATTACCTGAAGATTCATTATTCTCTTCACAGTGCTTACTTGGCGAAGTATATTTCTCAGAATGTTCTAGAACAAGCCCGCTTCAAAAGAAAAGAATAAAGATACACCTGTTTCAATGTGTTCCATATCAAAGAAATGTTACAGCAACAGCAAAAACAGCAAAATCAAGTTTCTTTGAGAACATGTAGGCTTTTTTTCCATCCAAACACCTGTCTGCACTTGATTCAACACTAAAGCAAATGACCACTGTTAGAAAATCACAGGTCTTTTCATCAGTTGCTCCTCTACTGAGTTATGAGGCAGACAAGCTGTGCTCACATCTCTCTAACCAGGCCTCGTAAAATTCTGATGACATTTTCTCCTGCCTTCCAGAAGAAACAGACGTTCTCCTCTCCTCTTCAGCAATACAGAAGTAGTTAAGAGAAATGTTCTATATGCCGTAAGCAAAAGGACAGTAACAAAGTTTAGAATTTCAGCTGTATGAATCCTGTCATAAAACGATCCCCCTGATAGAACAATAATTATCATCCATATGCTCCTCCACCAGAAAGATTCTCCAAGCATTACTCAGAACAAGATCGTTCTTTATAGACCTAGTATGTTCTTTATAGACCCAACCTTGCCTCCTTCTGTAATCATGACTGCATCCCACTGCCACTACCACGCCAATAAAATTCAACAGGGGAAGAATACAGCTGTGCCCCACCTAATCCCCAAAAGATGCATTTCAATACTACATTTCATGCTTACATTTTGCTGCATCAGTTTGTCCAACTGAAGTCTGCTCCAAGCTCACTTCAACTGAAGCGTTACAGTATTCAGTAGAGTTATAGTAAAAGAATGTTACATTCACAATTTGCCTCTTCTATTTCATTAAAGAGCCCATTGCACAAAAGAGGAGGTATCTGCATGTCTACAAGCACAAACAAGGGTTTGGACTGCAGATAATGCAGGATACCTTACTCAGCAGGTGTGACATTACTGGCGGCTCCTTACTTATGACAGAAAGTACAATTTAGAATCATAGAATGACTTAGGATGAAGAGGACATTAAAGACTGTCCAGTTCCGATCCCCACTGCCATGAACAGGGTTGCCAGCCTCTACATCAGGCTGCCCACAATGATCCCATGCAACCTGGCCCTGAATGCCTCCAGAGATGGAACATCCACAACCTTTCTGCACAACCTGCTCCAGCACCTCACCAGCCTCTAAATAAAAAATTTCTTCCTAACATCTAACCAAGACCTCCACTCTTTCAGTTTAAAGCCATTCTCCCTTGTCCCGTCACCATCAGACCATGTAAAAAGTTGGTTCCCCTCCCACTTCTAAAGCTCTCTTCTTCTGGTATCTTCTGGTACTGGAAGGCAGCAATGAGGTCTCCCTGCAGCTTTCTGCAAGCTGAACAAGCTCAGCTCTCTCAATCTTTCTTTGTAGGAGAAGCGCTGCAGCCTTCTGATCATCTCCATGCCCCTCCATTGGACTCACTCCAACAGCTCTGCATCCCTCTTCTACTGGTGGCCCCAGACCTGGACACAGTACTCCAGGTAAGGCCTTACATGGCTAAAGTAGAGGGGGACAATCACCTCCCTTGCCCTGATGGCCTCCTCTCATTTGAGGCAGCCCAGGATACCTTGTGGGCTGCAAGAGCACACTTCTTGTCTGCTTTTCATCCAACAAAGGCCCCCGGGTCCTTCTCAGCTGGTACACATATCTGGGATTGCCTCAACCCAAATGCAACACCTTTTAGATCAGCTTACTATGTTAGCATGATAGCTACATGCCTCAGGCATCAGTTACGATCCATTTCTACTGGTTGCTATACTGGAACACCACATAGCACAGTAACTTGCACCAAAGAGCTGTGCTGTCTCAGTACAGAAGGAATGAGATTAAATACAAGTTTTACAGACAACACAGGAAATTACCTTTCAGGACCCATAGCTTTCTCAGCTTCAGTGGAATGTCTAGAAAAGAAACAATTACCATGCTTACTGTAAGTCAACAATTTTACTTACTGCAGGGAACCATTTAAGAGAGTTAAAAAAAAAAAAGCAATGCAAAAACAAACATCCAAACCACCAAACACTGGATCTGCTACTCAATCTCTAAATCACACTTCAAAAACTCCAAGTTTCCTTAAGTGCTTACAGACATTACCCTTGGCACCCATCACTGATAACAGAATGGTGATTACACCACTTGGTTTCTCTATTAGCTATTTAACCACCTGAAACAGTCACTTATTTCAACACTGTAATTAATGCTCAAAATTTAACTGAATATACCAAGTCACGCTAGATTTTCTAAGGAATTGAATGAATAGCTTACTGCAGTCTCCCGTGCCTGTTACTTTTTCTTTTTTTACTTGTTTTCACAGCTGATTGCTTGTGTTTTTTTCTTGCTACCTCCTGTGCAGAAGAGCTGTCAGAATCTGTTGTATTTTGAGGCTCAGTGTCCCCCATGATTGAGCAAGCTCTTTTATGGGCTCTGTGATGAATCTTTTTGAGCATCTTCCCTGAAGACGTAACTGATGATCTTTTCTTTTCAGAATTCTTCTTACTGTCTACGAGATGCTGCAGTAACTCTGCAGCTTTTAAAGGAGTTTTGTTATTTACACCAGTAACTGTTTCCAAAGAGTGCAATACTTTCTCAGCTTTTTCAGACTTAGCCAACTTCTGAAGCACAGAAGTCTGTAATTCCTGATGCGGAGGTGAGGTAAACATTTCATTTGATTTTAAGGGCTCCCTTTCAAGTCCTTCTTCACCAGGTTCACTGTCAGAACTCTTCCATCTCTGTGGCTCAGGATTTTTATTACCATTTCTCTTTTCAGATTTTTTCAGCTTCTTCCTTTGGCTCTTCAACACCTTCTCATTTGCAAGTTTTTGCTTAGTTTGTTTCCTGTGAACTGAACGCTGATAAGCTTTTAAAGCAGACTGCTGGTACTTGCAAGGAGTGAGATTCCTTTTTGGCGATAGCATCTGCTCTTGCTGATGCTCAGCTGAGGGCACTGGCAAATCTTCCTTTGCCATCACCCTTCTTATCTTTTGTTCTTCATCAGATGCTTCTGAGTCCAACCCAGATAGCATCAGCTGTTCAGCTTTTGATTGATAGGACATCTTCTTTCTATGCTTGGAAGATCCCTTAAGTTCATCTGGTTTCGATTTTCCTGGGAATGTAAAAAAACACATGGAAAGGAATACTTTCTCCCCATAAAAACCCAAAGAAATAAGTTTACACCTAAACACAAAAATGAATTTTAAAAAAATCACCCAAACATTAAATATCACAAGAACTTATTTTCCCCTAACATTTGAAATAAAGCTCTAATTCATATCTCCTAGCAGTAAAAGAGCAGAAATGTTATGTTGTATGTGCTTCCAGTTTTCAGTGCTGCCTGCTAGAAAATTCTTCCCAAATAATTCATAAAAACTGACCTCTTCATTTAAAGTACATATCTTAATATCCTTTCTAGCGATACAAGAGCAAAAGCTTGTGGGTACTTCTACCTATTTGTCAGCTTGTAGGAAAAGACAGAACATCTAACTTAATATTTTGGACTCCTAACAGGAGAAGATAGAGTTGGGGGCAGAGGTGAATCTGTGTGGAAAAATACAGACCATGGCCTCAACAGGCAACTGAGAGAGGCCCGTGAGAAAGGACTGGTGTTAGCGTGGGAACACAAGTCAACTGCCTCCACCTTCTTTAAGTAGCTGCAACAAACTTGTTTGTGAGAAACTGCTTTGCAGCTGTAACTAAGTATCCTTGCTTTCAGTGAATGACTTTACTAATCCTGATACTCCATGTTTTACCCTGCCCTTGTATATAAAGCCACAGTACTCAGGGAGTCACACGGACATCTTGCTGGCTAGCCATCACCAGTAACAAAGACTTGGCAGATACTATCAGCCAGCCACCCCGATAACATCAGTAGTTCTTTATCAAACTGGTGAATATCAACTTGCTTCCACATACTTTTCTCAAGATTGGTAAACCTTAAACAGAAGAACTGGCACTTTCGCATTACATAATCCACAAGTAAAAAAATACAGACTTGCTGCCTACATACACCCAAATGTAACTATACTGGAGTCCTAATTGAAACATCAATTAGGACTCCATTAATCTCTTTCATCTCCTTGATCTCTAGCTTCCATACATAACAGCCCCCATAAAAATACCCAGTAACATGACAAGGAAAGGCAAGTCTGAAGATGAGTTAGCTGACTTACCCACACGAGTACTGCTTCTCATTTGAGATTTAAGGACCTCTCCCCCACTGTCTGAAGAGACCGGATGGGATTCTGACGTTCTTTTCAAGTCACGGTGCCCTCCGACACTCTTCATTTTCTGTTCACTATGTACTTCAGCCCGTACCTTCATGTTCTTGCATTTCTTATCTGCTGTCTTTTCCTTTTCAGAGGACTGAGATTTCAAAACAGGAGTCACGAAGCCATCTTTTTTTGACTTTCTGTTCTTGTGGGGTATTGAAAACCAAGACTTAAAAGACAGACAATCTGATTCATCAATTAAAAACTCACAATCGCTTTCTATTTCTACGTTTCGATCTTTGACAGGAGGAGGTGATGATGGTGCGATTGAGTCCGTATGCCTAAAGAAAGGAGGGACAAAGCACTCGCGTTATTTGGGAGAACAACACGAGTGCCAATCTTGAAAAATCAGCTGATAAAGCACGTAAACATTCTACAGGACATTCCCAGACAAATGATTCTACAGCCCATCATCCATTGCTCTTAATTTTCCAAAATGATCACACCCCTGTTGTTTTCTTGCTTTGGCCCCAAACATGTGCCTTATTGTTTTCCAAGTGCTGAGTAGTCAGCTTCCTATCAAACCCCACTAATTCACACTAACTCTTTCTCACAATCTCCTTCGATCACTGCCATGCTTCAGAACCATAAAAACTTTTCCTGAATCTTCCAATCTACCAATCAAAACATCTCAAGATCAATCTGAAGCATGTCTCCTTAGCCTCCATACAACTCAACCTGCAGACAAATGCAAACGAGGTTAAAAACTAAATCATTGTTAAATCCTACCTTCACAGAACATTCTAACTAGTTAAACCCTTTCCCAAAAGAATCCCAGGATTGGATTACTATTTTACAAGCAGACTGTTCCATGCTAAGCCTCAAAAGAAATCTCTTTTCGAGTGTTCCTGTTGTTACAGATGCTAAAAAGATTGAAGAGATGGACATCTTCTCCTTCCACCCAGGAGATAGAGCAACACGTTCTGTACTTCGTATAACATCCTGATTTTCTTTCACAATTTGAGGTCCTTTCAAATTTTCATACTCCATATGGCTCTTTACATTTTGGTTATCAAAATCTAAACTAGATTTGAGAAACAGCATTTAAGCATGATGGTATACTTAACGTGCAGTCAATTTCATTTTGTGGATGGACAGATGCTCTCATTTTCTCCTGCTGACAGCATATCAGTTTTTACAAATAAACTTTTATTTGTTAGTTTAATGGAACGTGGGTAAGCAGTACTGCTTCCCAGTGTAGTAGAAAGCATCCAAACCAATAATGCAACATGGGGTGAGACCATGACTCCTGATCAAAGTACAGCTCAACAAGGCAAATTCCTAATTTTAGGAGAATGTGCTTCGCAACATGTCAGATTTCCTAGATCATTAGTGCATTCTCTTCCCAGTCTCACTTCATCATGTGTCACTGGGACTGCTGTCATTTCCTCCCTTCCATGACCTCCAGTAGAGGCTCAACCTGCTTAGAAAGCAGAATCGTGGCTGGGACAGTCAGCCACTATTGAAACTGGAATTGAAATTTTCTGAAAAGGAGATTGTGACTGCAACTGAAACTACCCTACTTTATATAAAATATTGATGTATTCAGAGCGAGGGCAAGGATGACTGCCTACCACTGCTTTAACAAAGCTTTTGTTATGTTAAGATCAATGCTTTCAATAGCATTCACTGAAAAAGCCCAGATTATCCATCTTAGAAACTTTCCCGTAAAAAAGGAGTTTAAGTTCATTCTGGAAGTCTTAAGTACTGCACTTCTGGGACTTAACCCTCATCGCCAGAACATTTAATAAAAAACAATGATGCCTCCCTTCTGAATAAAGACAGACCTTTTTTTCATCCAATCTGGAATTATTTTTGTTCAGAACACAAACTCATCAACTGAAACTGTTGTACTAATTTAACCCTTAGTCAAAAACAACATTCACCCCTACTTACGTTTGTACAGGAGAAGTCTTTGCTTCCTCCACAAGAAGAGGTGATCCCACGACTCCATGATCATCCTCAGGATCTGATAACTTGGCAGGACTTTCACATGGTACTTCAACATCTTTGAATGTTAACACCTGTGTTTCTTCTCTTGGCACAGGACTGTCTGTTTTGACAGAACCAGCTATGTGACTGTTTCTTCCAGGCTCCGGGTAGAACACACACAGCTCCCCTGCCACACAGATTAAATAGGTTTAGTTGTACTCAAAAGCTCCTAAAACCCCAAAGAAGAGTTACCCAGAAAACCTTAAAAATAACACTACCAACCTTTGCTCCTGACTGTCTTCACTGGCGTTGCAGGTAAGGACACTGTGGAATGACAGGCTCTATTTGCTGCCGCGTTAGTTAACCCTGCATCTGGCTGACATTCAACAAAGAATGAGACATCAAAGAAAAATGTTTCACAAAGCCATGGTATTTTGACAGGAGTAAGAACTTCTACAGAAAACAATATCGTTTCCTTACTTTAATCCTTACAAATTTAAAGCTCGGTTCTATTTCAACAGAACGCTTCAGTTTTCTATTAAGACTTTCTAAAACTAACTGTATATTTCAAACAGGTAAAAGTACTGTGTACATGAACATCAATCTGCAGTTTCGAATAAACAGACTGCTCTTCCACAGGCAATACATTCTTTTCATTAAAACAAATTAATTTAAACCAACTAATTCACCTACAATTATGCAGGCTGAAGTTTTGCAAGAAAAACTTGAGATTATTCAGTATTCTAACATCAGACTGAAATAAACAAATGCCAATATAAATGTTGCCCATTTTGATGCTATTAACAGAATATCCTACTGGATAAACACTAGATCAAAGCATCAAAACTAGATAGAAAACTAGATTCCCATCATTCTTTTAGACAATAAACCAACAAGTCTGTCCATTCCTCCAAGCTACAAAGTTATTTTTCAGATACTGACTGCTTGTCAAGAGCTAACAAGTCCCTTTCATAGGAAAATGGTCTCTCAGTGTTACCCTCTGCACCTGACAGCTAAGAGCTGTGTCCATACATCTGGTAAAGTGCCTGAAACCAACCCCAAAGGAGTCCATGACAGCCATACCCAGCATCAATTATAAGATAGCGTGCTTCACTATGAGAGCACAAGAAATGTAACTATCTCAGACAGAAAGTCGGAAAAAAATTTAGTAAAATCTGAAAAAAAGGCCATTAAATAAATCTTGTAAGAGATTATTTACTATCTCAGTACAACAAACTAAGGAAAATCATTACCAGCAAATATTACAGAACATTATAGCCTATACATTGATATTTTTGACATACAGAACTTATTCACTCAACGTTCATACAGAAATCAATCCTACAGATCCAAATGTGCACCCAACTGAAGCTGCACCCAGCACTACACTGTGATAGCACCGCAATCAATCAGAATGGCTTAGGTGGAAGGGGATCTTAAAGACTGTGCAGTTCCAACTTCCCCTGCCAACACGGGCAGGGTTGCCAGCCACACCAGGCTGCTTGGGGCCCTATCCAACCTGGCCTTGATCGAGCACCTCTCTGGGCAGCCTGTTCCAGTGCCTCACCACCATATGAATCAAAAATTCCTTCCTAACATCTAAGTTAAATCTCCCCTCTTTTAGTTTAAAGCCGTTCCCCCTTGTCCTGTCACTATCAGATCACGGAAAAGGTAGGTCCAACTTACCCTAGGGCTCTGTGTTGAAGTCCTCTCCTGGTTTCTGACAAGAGGAGTTGAGAAACAGGTTGCTTCTGGAGAGCTTACAATGACATCAGTATCATCACCTACAAAGAAAAAGCGATAAGGGATACTTGGAATCATACAGCTTAGATCCGGTTTCAAAGGGCTGCAAAGGGGGAACTGTTGAAGACTAGGAGAAATATTATCAACTTTATTTATTTATTTTTTTTTTAAAATGTCTATTTATTTATTACTACATACAGTACAAGAAAGAAACAATGCTCTAACCAGCAGATTAAGCACAACACCAAATAAAAGCTTACATTCAAAACAATCCTGTATGTATTTCAGAACATTTTCACCAGGCTGTATATTGATCTTCTTTCTAGAAAGATGAAAAAACACACATTTTAAAAATAAGAATACTAAATACACCTATTCCGGCAAGTAATTTACTACTAGTTAGTACTTTACACTGTGATTTCAGAAGACAAAAAGCTCTGTCATGAAACATATTGGGAATGAGGAAATAACCCCCAAAGAATAAAACATACAATTACTGCAATAGTCTTCAAGTAAAAGAGCTCTGGGAAGTGCATGGTGGGGATGGGCTGACAGTTGGACTGGGTGAGCTGAGAGGTCTTTTCCAAACTTAATGATTCTATGAATAGAGACTCTGTTTCAAAATAAATAATTAAAAAAAAAATAATTGGTCCTGACGTAATTTTCTATACAAGGAGAGTGGTTAGGCCCTGGAACGGGCTGCCCAGGGAGGTTGTGGATGCCCCGTCCTTGGATGTGTTTAAGGCCAGGTTGGACGGGGTCCTGGGCAACCTGATCTGAATGTGTGTGTTTGGTGGCCCTGCTAGGCAGGGGGGTTGGAACTACATGATCCTTGAGGTCCCTTCCAACCCGGGTGATTCTGTGATTCTGTAATTCTGCCTGCATGGTGATCCAGCCTCAGCAGACCCAGAAATAAGATGTGTAGTCCACAGTCTATCCCTTCAAACAAGGAGTCATCCTTTGCTTCGCCTCCTACATTTACCTGCAGTTACTCAACACCTCTGTAAAAGCTCTGAAAGCAGGAACTGACTTAGGGCATCAAACTGCAAGCTAGAGAACAACTTTGATGCTTGGCTTCAAATCCAGTCCCCTCCCCTCGGACAAATAAAAATAGCAGAAGTAATCTAACAGCTGGCCCACGGAGATCAAAACCAAAATAAGAAGAAAAACACGACATACTATTTTCCATAAATATTCATAATTATTAAACATCCATAAAAACAAGTAATTTGGCAGATCTGATAAGCTCATGAAGCGCACATCCAGAAATAGATTCCAGTAACAAAAAGCTTGATGACTTCAGAAATGTCTCAAAAGCTCTTTGCAGCACTGCAAATATCCAAACTCATGTTCCACATTTACCAATGAGGACCAAATACCTTAAGCTGGAATTCCATGTGGTCTCACTTTCTCTCCCTCCTGAAAGTCAGAGCACTTGCAGATGGCTGCAGCTGCACTCTGGTAGCTCAGTTGTGGTATCTTAACATTTATATACTCCATAGCCCACCACTGCCACAGAGAAACACTAAGGAAATCCTTTGCACTTTGGAGTGCAGAACAATTTGCCTCTCCCTCCACTAAGAAATGCAAGAAGGCTGGGAAACATCATTAAATCAGTTCAGATTATTAAGGTTGGAAAAGACCTCTAAGCTTATTCAGTCCAACCACCCATCAGCTCCACTCCTGCAAACCATGTCTTTAAGACACACCACTAGTTTTGCCATTACACTTAAAGATACCAACTTTTCCAACCAAATGTATCTATGATTAAAATCATAAAGGGAAATTACCCTCCTTGCCCACAGAATCTCGCTCGGTAGTATTGTTTTAAGTGATCCTGTTAAGAAATAAGAATCAGTTGTTACTAAGCATGCCGCTGACAAATGACAACACTCTTGATTGATGTGTAAACAAGTCTCAAAGATTCCCGGTTTACCCAAAGTCAGTACCAGCAAGTCTTAAAAGCAACAGACAAACCCCAGTCACATTTGTAAGCAGCTTTAGATGTTACTTATGGTAATCAAAAACCAAAGAAACAACCAAAGTAATATTAATAAAGTAAGAAACATCCCACTGTCACCGTTCAGCGTACAGTTAACACAGCACGCAGAACCACTGTGTCTCTCAGGTAACCGACGAGATGCTGTCAGTTTGGAGACGCTTAGTGCAAAACCGCCTTCTTTCCTGTTCAGTCACAGAACTGAGTTCCTCGCAGCCCGCTCACGTATAAAGGTCTCATCAAACGTAACCCCCGCGCTCCTCTGACAGGGCCGCAAGAGGAGGAACAGCTGCGGCACGCCCGGCGCCTCCAGCTAACCCTAACCCACCCACGGAAGGCTTCGGCGCCGAGCGCGGGCCCCGCCGCGCAGCCCCAGAGGAGCGGGGCCGCTGCCACTGAGGAGTGGCACTGCGCTCACACGGCCGCAACGCGCGGGGGGGGGCGGAAGGGCCCACCCGCCCCTGACAGCGCGCTGAGGAGAAAAGCGCGTCCCAGCCCCGAAAGACGGCCCCGCTGCCCTTCCCTACCCCCTGCCAACGCGCCCGGAGGCCGCCAGCCGCGCGGGCCGCGCAGGCCGCGCTCCCCCCGCCCTCTCACCAAGCGCTCCGCCATCCCGGGCCGCCGCCGCCGCTGCCGAAACGCTCCCGGCACCCATCCGCCTCCGGCCCCTCCCTCAGCTTCACCGCTTTCAAACCTCGGCGGCCCCGCCGCCTCGCTCGATTGGCCGGCGCCCGCCGCCCCGCCCCGCCTCCCCGCCCCGCCGCCTCGCCCCATTGGCCGGTGTCCGCCTCGCGCCAACCGGGGCGGTTGCTTCGAGCGCGCGCGGCTTCTATGTCTGAGGGCCGTTGCTGCGCCTGCGCAGAAGCTACAGGGCGGCCTTCCTGCACTCCCCACCGACTTTCTGTGGGCAGGGAATGGGGCGGAGCGGAAGATTTCCGTCTTGGTCAACGAGAATTGGAACGCGCGGATGCACGCCTTTATCTGTCCTGCATCGTTCGGTAGCGAAGTGACATTCTGCCATTTAAACAAAACCACAAGTACAGCAATGTGCTCACTCACATGTAGCCAAAACCTGAGACACAGATCTACCCCACTTGATCCCTGGCAATTAATTCAGTCTTCAGCCAGCTGAGGTTCTGCCTAGAGAAGGTTGTTTTTCCTCTATAGCTGGACATCTGAAACCTCACAGCAGCATCAGCATTCCACAGGCTGTGAGGAGGTATACCAAACCTCCTGGGGTTGAGAACAGGTTGACGAGATAATTAAAAACTTCAAAGCAGATTTTTAGTAATTTTTTTTTTTTTTTTTTTTAAACCAAATGAGGGACCTACTCAGCACATGACCTTTTGGCTGGATGAAAGCTTTGTTTTTAGCAGCAACAAGAAGGAAGTGCCAAGTGCAGTCATCCCTATCCTTCCTAAAAGCTATAGGGAAGGTCAGAAACAAATTGAAACATAAATGTTGCAGGAAAATAATGGAAATGTCACCCCTCAGTTCAGCAAGGCCAACATTTCTTTCCTAACCCTCTCTTTGCACTTTTTTTTTTCTTAAGGCTTTGATTTATCGCCTCTTTCAGAAGGAAATAAATATTTTTCCCACATGCAAGTTGCAAAGTTGATTTATCCTGGGCAGTCATACACAACTGTAAGCTTCATACCAGTACTACTTTTGGCATACCATACCCTATAGAAATTCCAACTCTGATATCTTCAACTTCATAACACATTCACCAAGGAAATCATAGAATCATAGAATCATAGAATCACCAAGGTTGGAAAAGACCTAAAAGATCATCCAGTCCAACCGTTCATCTATTACCAATAGCTCCCACTAAACCATGTCCCTCAACACAACATCCAGTCTTTCAAATCATTGAAAAGCCACTTATAAACCAGTCTCCCTGCCTGCAGGGCTGCTCTGCCACCACCTCCAGCTGACACTGCTCACAGAAACGATGCAGTCTTGTGCCATTATGCAGTATCATCTGAATGCTTACCTTTGAGCAAACCCAAGCAACAAAATCCCAAGAAAAGATCCTTTCAATCCACTTGGTCTGGTTCCCCTGAGGATTATGCACTGAGCGAAATGTCTGCTGACCTAAAAGCAAAGCACTGAGACTTCCTCTTTGAGGTGTTGCTTTTTCCCCCCTCCCCTCACCAGGATGAGCTCTCTGGCTGAGGCTGACACAGAGCAAACAAGCACAGGAGTGGAAGGAGGAGGTTTAAAAAATAAAAATAAAAAATTTAAAGCAAACAACGGGCAGAAGAAACCAACAACCAAACAGCAGAACTGATATCTAGAGGCTACTGAGGAGCAGCATGGAGCAGCCTGCAGAAGCCCCTCAGGCAGCACCCAGACGAATCTACCAGGAGAGACAGAAGCTCACAGGTCTGCCCTTGTACTTCCAAGGTTACCTGTCAGTGCGGCGCTCACAGTGCCAGGTAAGCTGCACCAGCCCACAAAGCTGACGTGTTTGGGCATTTCCTCAGATTCCTGCTAGGCGCTAATCCTCTGCTGATAGTGGTGGGAAATGCTGCTCGGTGCTGGCCGATGCAAATAGTTGTGCTGAAATAATTATATCTAGCTTAGTTTGCGCTTTCATCTCATCTCAAATTACTCGAGGAAACAAACAAACAAAAAATTAAAATAAGTTACACAAGGTAACCATCAGTATCTCCTGGATCCCATTTATAATTTACCTACTGAATTATAATATTATGATGATCACATACTTACTGAAACATGGATTGCTCTCGACCAATTTCATAGCTACCACCACAGCGAAATCTAATGCAGTATTTTAAATACCAAGACAGTTTGGATGTCTATATTGCTTCAATGTATCATCTGTTTTCTAGAGAAAAGTATTCATCCCGAAATCTTCAGCACCACACCACCATGATATGTATTAGCTCTGCTGTGCCTCCTTTTTCTTGTTGCAGTGAGCTGCTGATTCCACACAGGTGGACTACCTTCAAAGCGTAATGGTGATTTGTTGAGCCAGGATAATTATTTACAACCCAAACTGGTAAATGCCCACATCCTTTTAATCAGTGCTACCATGCTCAGAGCATGGACTCAATCAAGCTGATTGCCCTTTTTTAGCACTTGATAATGACAATCCCAACGGTAGGGACCGTACCTACACTCACACCTCCATGGAAGCAGATGCACAAAGTAGAGAAAATTAGTTATGCACTGCAAAAAGGAGATATAGTCAAGAAACTGAAATAACACTGTGGCTCACAAATACAGGAACAAGCTAGTAGCAGAGAAAACAGAAACTCCAAGAAACCAAAAGGAGACAATTAATAAGCTGTTCATTTTTTAAATTAAAAATTTTAAAACTAAAAATTATTCAATGCCTTGCCTTAGTGTAGCATGGAAGTACCCTCATATTTAAATAAAACTCCTTGTTACAGTCCTGTATTTATATCCTTCTATGTAAAACCTCTTTGTTCCCTGAAAAATCCCTCCTTCTGAAATATGGTTAACTACCATAATGAAATAGCAAAAAGTAACAGGACACAGCAATAATACAGACTAGTCTGTAGACGAGACTCACATGAGATGAGCAAGGTGTATTACCGTTTATGAGAAACCAGACACCCAAGGAGAAAAAAATGTGTGAATACATTTGTTTTGAATGAGTGAAACAATTGGAAATGTTCTTGGGCAACTGCTACTGCATCTCCATAGAGCACAAAGTCTATAAGGCGCAACCCAAAAGCTTGCCATGACATCCAGCCCCAGCACACAGCAGTCACTGACTTCATTAACTTGCTTGAGACAGATGATTTGATGAGGACATTTACACCATTGCAGCACATTGCAGTGCTCAGAGGTTGGGGTCCAAAGGCACAGTGCTGTAGAGAACCTTACATTAGAAGCGTGACCAGAAAGACTAGTTAGGGGTTGCAGGACAGAGAGCAAGAATTTCCTGCAAATTATTCCAGGAGAAATTTCTTTACTGTAATTCCTACGACTTAGCAGATTTCACAAGTCATTTATTTTAAAAGGAGACTGAGAGGGGACCTGATCCAGGTCTATAAATATCTAAGGTGTGGGGGGCAGAATGGCGAGGCCAGACTTTTTTCAGTGGTGAGTGGAGACAGAACAAGGGGAAACGGCCGGAAACTGCAGCATAGGAAGTTCTGCACAAATGTGCGCAAGAACTTCTTTACAGTGAGGTGACGGAGCACTGGAACAGGCTGCCCAGGGAGGTGGTGGAGTCTCCTTCTCTGGAGATGTTCAAGACTTGCCTGGATGCCGACCTGTGCGACCTGCTGTAGGGAACCTGCTTTGGCAGGGGGGTTGGACTCGATGATCTCTGGAGGTCCCTTCCGACCCCTACAATTCTGTGATTCTGTGATTCTGTGATTTCTCAGTTTTTGTGACTACCTCCAACTTTGTGCCAAAGAAAATCCCCAAACAACATCCCTCAAATAAAGAAACAAGCAACAAGTAAGGAAACTGAACACTAGAATAGCATTCAGAATTGTGTTACGCTTTCGTGTTTTCAGTCCTCTAAGAGCTACTTTTCTTGGGGTACTGGTCACAAAAAAATTGAGAAAAATGAGAAATCTTTCCTTACTTGAGTATGAACATATTTTGGAACCTGTAAGAAGAGTGAGACAATTTTATTTACCTGGTCACGGTGTTGATTCACAGTGTGCAGTGAATGGTACTGCACATAATTTGAAGACAAAGCATGCAAAATATCACTTCATATACAGGAAGCATAGTTAGTAGGTCAGACTACTCACAAGCTCCGTGATCTTGTCCCCTATCTTGTCTTTACTTGTCCAGCAAGTAAACTGGTGAGATCAAAGTTATGTGCAAATAGACACTTTGACTGAATATATTTTTCTTACCCCCTTTAAATTGATTAATATTAAAAATACTTAAATTCATTACAATTAAAGTTTTCTAGTTTGATGCCATTGTTTTAGACAACAGTGTTTGTTGTCTAGGGTACTAGACAACAAAGCATAGATGCATAGAGTATATGCATCTTTCTAACTTGCAAAAAAACTAGTAAACTTTTTTTTCATTTTGCATAAGCTGCATAGAAAACAAATAACTACTCGTTCTTTAACGATGTTTAACACTGATTTAAAAGCACGCAATGACATTTTTTCATAGCAGTTCTTTCAGCATTTTATGGAAATGAAAAAGATTGTCTTGATGAACTGACATGTCCTCCTCTGTAACAGGAATTTAGACTGTTTTGGACAGAACTGAGAGGAACCATGCTCTTCTTTTACGATGATAAGAAGGCACCAGAGGTGAGTGGCATGCTGTATTTGTATCAGCAGACTGAATTACGTACTTCAGTTATTTTCATTAATCAGTCCTCATGTACTCTAGATAGCTCTCTGCAGCCCTTCCTTCCTCACCCACACAGTCCAGTACTCAACACAGCAACAGGAAGGCTCTTTTTTTTTTTTTTTTTTTTTTTAAGCCAGAGTGAAGCAAACAATAGTGTTAATCTGTTTCATCAAAGCAAAAAGGAAGATTTTTTTTGTTACCTGAGCTAAAAATGTATCCATGTTGCTCCATAACATTATTGCACACTCCTTCCTCAGCTGTGCACAAGGGTAAAAACAGTATCTTGATGTGTAGTATGACCTTCCTCTGTGCAGCAGAGAAAAATGTTCTTGGTATAACCATTGGAAGATTGTGGCTACGGGTTTTGCTGAAGTGAGAAAGCAAGTACGTGGGGAGGTCTCTTGTCTTTAATGTGCAATTAAGAAGAAAGGAAAAAATCCAGAAAGCATGTTGTGGATGGTTTAAGTTTCTGTAAGCAGAAACAAAGGACTTTGAAATGTCTCTCAATGAAACTTAACCCAACATCTGCCAAAAAAATAAAGTTTCCCAGTATTTCCTTCTAAACAAATTTATTTGAAGAACAGCTACGTTTTGGTGAATTTTTCAACTTGTGCCATTCCTTTTCTTTGTTTCCTTAGTACTCACACAAACTAGATATTTCAGCTTTGACCTCAGTAAGCAATGTTTATCCAAATGAAGACAACTCTGCACAGTTTATCCTGATGTTGTTGAATGAAAAACTGGAAGTGAAGGTAAAAAGAGAAAACCTACAATTTATAACCCCTTAGTGCTCTACCTTGTCACCTTTAGATATTCAGAGCTCCAGGTGGGAGTAAAGCTTTCTTCTTGGCAGCCTGCAGCCAAAAGGGCAGTCAATGAAGGAGGCAGCACTAAGAAACCTAACACCAGCAAAAATCCTCCTTCAGGCATTAGACAGTTTTCTCTGGAGCATCTGGGAACCTAAATAGAGCAAAGAATTGAACAAAAAAACATGCAAGAAAAAAAGAGCAGGAAGTACCCCACTGACAGACTCAGGTCTCCTGTAATATAAAAAGGGTAATAATATATCTGACCAGTGCCTCACCCCCATTCAAAAGCTTAGAGACTGTAGGGACTACCTGCAGACTGATAGGGACTACCTGCAAGGTTTAGGATAGGTCACCTATCTCCTTAGCTTGGCCTTCCTATTGGATCAACACAACCCGCTCCATTTACTCCAAAAAGCCCATGAGTTTTCATCTTCCCACCTCCATCCTCTCTCAATAATTGAATATGGAGTAGTGGAAGTGCAGAGGGTGTGATTTAGTTTGACAGGAGGCTTATTTGCAGGCAAGGCACTTCTAAATGTGTGAAAGTTATCTGAGCTTTTACATGAAAATAATACTTGTTCTTTTTTTTGCTGTAGTCGTTCTTACATTCAATTTCTGTTCTCTTAGGCTGATAACTGTGAATATGGAAAAGAATGGAAGGGTTTTATTCTCACCGTAACAAAGGTAGGGAACAGTTTTGTGTCTCACTCAGTACTGAAAGCACGTATGAGGACTTTTTTGTCTTCAAATATGCAACAAGTTGGCTTAAAGCCTTGTTTCCAATGTGCTTGCATAAACAAACATGCCCACCCCTCCCTGCAAAGACAGCAGAATTCAGGTTTTTTCACCTCAGCTCATCTGCCATGGTATCCAAACAGCTCCCAGTCCACTATTAGCAAGGAGAGACATCCGCACAAGTCCACCTCCTTGCATCTGTGAGAAAAGGAGCCTATGCTGAGAGAAACAGCATCTATAAATACTTAGCAAGGGATGAAGAAATAAACAAAGAAATGGCTAAACTGCACATCTGAGAGAACCCACTGAGACCTACCTTATACTCTACCAGGAAAAACAACAAGAGTCTTCATTTCCTATCAGCATCCAGCGGGCACTTAGGAAGAGTTGGAACCAGTGATTCCCTATTCTGAATAGCTAGCACTGTCCTTCCTTTGGGGCACCTTTTACTAGTCTAGCAGTCAACACCTGCAGCAGTTTTGTCAGCTGAAATAGTTTAAAAATGGAAAGAAGGAACTTAGATTATTCTAGCTCTGGCTTTATTTATTCCCCCTCAGTCTCTTTAGACTGATGAACTACTTTTCTCCCCTTTCTCAGTGCTTGAGAGTCCAGGGGGTCATCTCCATGCTTTGAAAAAGGTCATCAGTACTTACTGTAAAATAACTGTATTATAATCATTTCACGTAAACCCGTCCTTAAATGCTGAATGCACTTGAAAAATAGCAAGACTTTCTCTAATAACGTTCAGGAGAAAAGTTTGTTCACAGGTGAGTTTACACTGGTGTAGCTGAATCACTTAAAAAGCTGAGGTTAAGTGAAACAAGTTAAATTCCATAGTGTAGCAACAGCAAAATATAATTGTTCCCACTTTTGTTAGTGGGTATCTCTGGTAAATGAAGGTACAGATGTGTATGTATTCTGCTATTCTAATAAAAACAGATGTGCAGCATCTTACTCAAAACATAAGTATACACAAACCTTCCAAATTACCATATCTGCTTTAACCAAGCAGGTACAAAAGACTACCACATGGCAGCTGCACTCTGGAGGTTGCTGTTTCACACACAGAAAACAGTTGCTCACATTTGTCCAGTCTTTAATTTTCAACTATGCTGTTCATTTTCAGTTGTCAGTTCCACTGGATGAGTCGTTATCACCTGGACAACTTACAAAAATACATGAAGTGCTAGATAAAGAAAAGAAAAGAAGGATTATGCTTAATGACTGTTCCTGCACATCCCAGAATAAAGAAAGCCTTCCCAGCAAGGACAACAGTTGCACAGCGACTGCTATGCCAGCGTAAGTTCTGACTGAAATATGCAAACCTCAGTCCAACTAGAGAGCCTTCCTTTCTTCCTTCCAAGTATTGTTTTCATAAACAGGTTCAAAATTCAACTATTGTACAAAGGTTTAAAATATTCGATGAGCAAAATCTACCTTAAGGCCTTTACAGAGATTTCATAACAGAAATTTTACTTCTACAGCTTTTCTACAATGCCTTTTGTTTTGAAAAGGCTGCATGTAAAATATTGCTACTCTTGATAAACCTTTTAGAAAGCCACATGCTGGACCGGTGTATCTGCCCTTCTGAAAATATACTGATTACCATTGAGAAATTCCAGGTAGATCCAGGTTGGTCTCCACACTTTGCAAGGGCCCAGAAAGCATCACTCTGAACCAAAGTGCTACTTTCTCTTTGAGAAGGGTGAAGCACTGCTCTCCTGTAATAATCACCACAAATCCTCCAGATGTCATGCCCCTTGGCTGCCATAGCTAATTAACTTGGATAAGCCTGACACTGCACTAACCTGGTAGACAGCATTTCTTTGCACAGCTGAGAATAACGTGGCCTTGCAGGTGTAACTTGCATCCATGCTATTTCTCCTCTCCATTCTATGCAGGTGCTTCTATGCAGTATCTCGGAAAGAAGCAATAGAGATGTTAGAAAATAACCCACTGTGTGGGAATTTGATCCTGCGCCCTGGCAGCGACAGCAAGAACTATGCAATCACTGTCCGACACGTGCTGGAGTAGGTTGCTTCCGTAACGCGTTACCCTATTCTTAAGTAGCATGCCCTGTATTGAAAGCTGAACTTACAATAGCCACCAAACACATGTGAAATATGTGCCTCAGACTACTTTGAGAAAAGTGGGCGAGCAGGGATGGGCCTGAGACCAATCTATTAATCCTCTGCTCCTCCAAAGTCAGCTTGATTTAAAAAAGAAGCACTAAAGATCAGCCACCAAAAGTCTATTTCCTTAGAACAGTCTTCCCACCTGCTGCCTACCCTTGAAATGCTGCTCAATTTAAGAAACCTTCATGGAGAATAAAACTGAACAGACCGTATCTCTTTCTAAAATGAACAAAAGAAAATGAGAGATAAATATTTTCTAACAGTAACTTGATCTAAAATCACCTTATTTTAACTGGATTGCCATATTCCAGCTTTGCAGAGCTTCAGAACAAGTCTTCTGAAACACCAGGAATGACATTTGCAAATCCCAGTGTTCCTAGTTTCCTCTCCTAGGAGAGCAAAAGCCTCGCCCTGCCACACACACACTTCAATAGACTCTGGGGATATTGCAAAGCACACATCCACTGCTCCTGCAGAAGAATTCATAATGACAACATTATTTCATTTCTAGCTACCTGTTGACTTATATTTCATTTCTTTTCAGTGCTCCATGCATAAAGCACTACAGAGTGACGTCCAGAGAAAGAAGTTACATTATTGAATTGGAAAGACAGGTAAATGAACTATTTCCTTGCTGGTCCTCAGAAACATCCGAGTGTTTTGAAAAAGCAACTGCAATTAAACTACCTGCTGATGGCACAAGGGCACATAGACCTAAACCTCTTTGTTTACCCATTTGATGGAAAGAGTTGGGCATTCAAAGCTCAAGTTACAATTGGTTGTGGAGAGCTGTCCTAAACCTCACAGCATCTAAATGCTAGAGGTAAATCCAGTGTTAGTTGTTTGAAAAACACTGCTAGGCACCTCAGGCTGCCAGCATGTTTTCAAAAATGCATTCTCACTGAAACACATGTAGTATGTTTTGTTCGGTGGTGTTTATTTTGTTGCTATTTTTTGTGAAACAGGTAACAGTTAAAAGCCTTGAGGATGTCATCAGTTACTTTATGATCCAAACTCATGGGAACCTGAAGCCTTTCATCATGCAGACATGCAATGAGTCTCTGCAAATGGACTAGAATTCTGAAAGTAAAACACAAGAAAAGTCCTGATGAAACAGAGGTACAAAAAGGAGCCACTATCCATCCCGTGGGAAACTGGAGATTCAGCCTTCAAAACAAATACCCAAAGTGGTCAGCAGCAGGACCAAAATTTAGTATTTTAAGCCTCTAAAGCATGCCACGCACTGTATCTGACTTCTGCCATACAAGATGATTCACTTATTTAGAAGACAGTTTTGCTGGTGCAGTTATCACTGCTGTAACTCATGACAGGTTTAACGCTGAACCTAAATAAGAATTCCACACAACGGATAAACACCTGCTCTAGCTATTGCATCAGACATTTATTAAAATAAACCTCCAAAAGCTATCTGGTCAAAACAAATCACCCTTTAGATGGACGTTCAGATTGCTGTCCTGTACTGCAGCAAAGCCTATTTTCTGTAATTACAGAACATGTGACAATTAACAGGGATGGACAGACCTTTCAGGTAGAATTAAGCCCGTTGCATTTGGTTGAAATACAGTCCTTCAAATGACTACTATACAGACAAAACATTTCTAAAGGCAGAAGGAAGATTATGAATGTCAGTTTACCCAAGACCCTTGCTTCTATTTGTTACAATTTAGATTTACATACAAACCCTGCATTATTTCAGGATGTGAGATTGTGACATGGTGTCACAGGTGCCTCTGAATTTGCTAGAACTGTAGCATGTTCACAAATTCACCGCATGTATTTGGAAAAGGGAGAATGAAAACACGCTCTTTACGGGGAAAACCAGTGCTCTTTATTATGGGGAAACCAGTGTAAAAGGCATTTGAATGAGAAAGATCTTTAATGCTAATTTAACATTTAATCTTTGTAAATCAACTGCTCTTGCAAAGAATATTTTGAAGGATTGCTCAATGTACCTGAGCACAAAGGTAGCTGCTTCCTCATTGTTACAGGGAGATGCCTTGTTCCAGCTGCTGCACAAGAACGCAGCATCAATCCTAGACACTCACAAGCTTTCGCTACAAAGACCAAAAGCAGTTGTGAGATCCAGGTGGTGTAACACATCTCTGCACTGGCAGCACCACACCAGTACTGACAACAGTGCAGATCTGAAAAGAAAAACTCCCAGCCCACAGCTCTCTTGCCCAGTTTGAGTGAGCCCACTGAACACTTGCTGGAAATGCTGGCAGAAAGCAGTACTTGATTGAGAAATGGGCTGCAAACAAATCCTCACTGAATCACCTAACTTCATGTGAGTGAATGCATTTACATCACAGCTATCAGCTACTCAGAAAGCTATTCATTTCAAAATGTGAAAAAACGTTTTAAGAGCCACTTGACGTGCACACTTCGATATGAAGTTCCCTTAGGTAATATCCTGTTAAGAAGTTAACTTACTTTCAGAAGATTTTAAAAGTCTGCTAGAAGTATCTGGAGATATGCTTTCTCAGTTTTTCTGTCTCAAATTGAGAAGAACCCATCTGTGGAATGGATACAAATCCTACATACACTCAGTAAGAGCAGTATCGGTCAGTTCTGCTCCAGCCTACACGTGGAATTTTTAGCAAGGGTCTCACAAAGCCGTATGCACTGTTATCTGCAAGAGTCATTCTGTTAACTTTACCTGAGGTCCTTCAGGTAGCCTTCAAGCAAAATAGCGAGACTAATACTAGTTTGCTTTGCTGCATACCTCAAAAGCAGGAGCACACCAGTGTGCGCACCCACTCAGAAATTCATTTCTTTCCCCAGCTCATAGTTGTGAGAGGTGACAGTGCTTTGTTTTAACCTGACCATTTAAGTAAGTGATCCTTAGTAATAATCAGCAATTTTAGTTTAGGCTCTAATGTTGTCACAGGCAAACATTTTGCAGCTATTATTTAAAGTGCAAACTTACTGTCTGCTTGCGCCGCCTTTGCGCTCCAAATGTAATCTTTTGTCCAGTTTCAAAAAATATTAAGTTTTTATTTAAAGAAATAGGCTACTTTAAAACGTACTATTACTAATCTAGAAAATGAGATCTATGAACTCTACTGACTGTAAAACTATATATACCTTCACAAATATATTCCACATGTAAGACTAAATCCCAAATAATTGTGTTGATTCCAGATATTCAGTTCCATATATCTCGTTGTTCAAGTGACCAGCTTAATATCCACTGTTTCTGGCTACAACTGTCTGAGAAAGGAAAAACAGGTAAAATTCCCAAGCAATAATGTTCATTAAATGTGAAAATATCCCTGAATCTTAATAAGAGATGCTCAAGGATAAATGGCTAAGTAATCAACACCCTTTTACAACATCTGGAGGATTCAGAGATGAGCATTCTCCATTTCTGAAGCTTAAAAACATCACAAGGTTTTTTCTAGTTTGTAGGATCTGTTTTTATCCTAACCCCACTTCACTCTCATCACTAGGGAATAATAAAATAAAGCTACCCTCAACCCCACCCAAACTATCAGCTTCATTATCTCATGTTTAAAAGATAACGTGGTGTTATGGTGCTTCTGTAACGCACCTCTGCCTCCTGCAATGTAAAATTAGTTTTTAATTATTTAAGCATATTCTTTATACCAGACATCCTACTAACAGATTGAGATGATGCCAATTCAGTGCACTGCAACTCAGACTCACACTGTGGACAGGTGTGCAGCATAACCATTCACTATAAAGAAATGGTACCAGAAGGAGCAGCCAAGGATTTGCTTGTGACAATCATCCAGGGCCATTTGCCTTTACCTCTTTCGAAGTAATTTCTTGCCTCAGTACTCTTAATTAGGTAAGGGCAGAAAGGCTCAACCACACCGACTATTTTCTCTTTCTTGAAGACAAAGTTTTATTGTCCAAAGTGTTAACTCAGCTCTCTGATAGGGTTCCACTTTCCCCATATTGCAGTTTTCCCCGACGAACAGTCTTAGTGCATACAGTGAACAACTCCAGCTGTCTTGATTTCAGGGAAGTTATGACAATTTACACCTATTCAAGACCTGGCTCCCTGTGCTGCCATATAGAGACTGACAGAGCAGCCACTCTGACATGCGGCATCACTTACAGTTCAGAAGAGAGCACCACCAACAAAACAGAAAAATGCATTTGCCATTTAAGTGGATGTTTAAACATTCTGAATGGATTATCTCTCATGTGGATGCCAAGTCTGAATTCTCATTTGAGAATGAAGTAACACGTGAAATGGATTTGACATGTTCTTGGAACACCAGGAGTATCATAAGATAGCCATTTCCCCAGTTTTTGTACTCTTCTCTGAGCAGCTCAACTTATACACAAGGACAATTCATTCCATTCACCACTCTTCTTGCTTTCTTCAGCTCCCCACTAATGAACATAAATCTTGTTTTCAAGGTAAGGACTGTGCTGAACATTCCATCTTGTAGAGTGACCAATCCCTCTTTGAGCAAACTAGTTTGAAGATAATGGGAACAGATGAAACAAATCCAGTTTGTCTTCAGCGCAAAGCCACCAACTTTCATCATTTGTTTTAATTAAGGCTTCACCAAAAAAAAAAAAAAAGAAAAAAAGGACAGTACCATCTTTAATAGCTGAAAATTAGCACACTCCTTTCAAAACAAATGGTCCTGGAGTGACTTCTGTATCTCTACCATCAATTGTCTTCCTGAACAAAGTAGTATCTCACTGGTGGCCCTGGCAAGTCTTCATCTCCATCAGTCTCAGGAGCAAACGATACTGTCAAGTCCACATACTTTTTGTCAGCTGATGGCTTCACAAGCTTTTGCATCCTACAAGGAAATGAATAACAGTTTAAGATAAAAGAAGGAATTGCAGTGTGAATTCAGAGCCAAATAAGGACTAATTTCATTACCAGAAACCACAACAACAGAGCACGAGGCTTCTTTTAATGTCAACATAAAAGTTGTTCCACCCTTTCAGCTACAGCAAATAGCATTCTGCTACTTCTGACAAACTTTTCAGCCTGCTAGTGAGCTACAATGCTCACTAGTGCTCAGTACAAACAACAGGAAACGGGCAGTTTCAGATGGGATTCCTCATGCACATGATTTCTCATTGACATCCTACTGAGATACAAGACAAAATTAGTTTTCTGCACAGAATTCTGGTTGGGAAGTAGGATCAAACTCTCGGCCCTTCCACAGTGGCAGCTTTTAGTACTTTATTAGGGAGACCCACTCCAGTGCAAATATCAGATGTGCAGTTCTCATGGAAAGTAATTCTGCTGAAATTAAGACTTTTCAAGTCCTTGAATTCTGAAGGTGAATAGCTACGAGGGGGGAAAAGCATCATCTTTAATGACCACAAAGTGAAGTCATTAAAGGTGAGCATGAGATGTTTCAGTGCTGCTTCCCCTTTTAGCTCTCTGTACTCATTACTGCAACAGAAGCCTCAAAAGATACTGCTAGCACTGTGAAGTTGCACAATAAATACTTCAAGCTCACTTTCATTATCTATCTTTAGATGTCTCAGAACTACTTTCTCGCTACTTTGGAACACTAGTTCACAAGGCCAGCTCAAATGGCAGCAGGCTTGAAGAACACATTCATTCTGATTCCCTGTAGGACACGAGAGAAGCATTCACTTCTTGCTATAGTTTAGGATGCAGGACAGAAAGCTGCTATCCCTGACGTACTTATTCTCTTGCAAGAACACAAAGTTAGCCTCTTTTCAGCAGAGGTATTGATGTCACATACATTTGCATGAGGAAATTTCAAGTTACAGAGCAAGGTGACAACCACGTCTCTAAAACCTGTTTCTGAGGCGTATGCTACCAGTGGAAGCTGAAATTCTGAAATGAGATGGTCTAGTAATGCTTGCTGTCATATTACAGAATCAGAGGATCATTTTTGTTCAAAGAGTCCTTCAAAGACCATCTAAGTCAACCACTCCTCACATGGCAAGAACATATTTCACTAGATCAAGTTGCTCTAAGCCCCACCCAACCTGACCTCAAATTTATGTCAAGGGATAAACTACCCAAGAAGAAAGATTTTAAGCATCTCAAAACAACAACAAAAAACAACACACAAACAAGACCAGAGTTTGCTGTATACATCTTACAATGCTTTTGGGACTGCTTGTAACAGCATCCCAAAAGAGTGGTAACTACACAGAAAGCTTGAATAATGTCCGGGGGTTAACAGAAATTCTGAATATTATTACAAAAGGCAGCTTCAAACCATGCCTTTGATTCTGTTATACACTCCAGTCAGTCAAAATTACAGCCATGTAAGAAGGAACATAAACAATTTATTCTGAGGTAGGCTATATGCCAGGCACCCTAAAGGTAGCATCAACTTCGGACTCTTCTCCCCATCAAAGTCATCCCTTTGCTCACATGTATACTACTTTCTGTCAAGTAGATCTTTTGTCTCAGACAACTGATCAATGCAACTATTTACTCAGCAATGTCTGTGAGCACTGACCAGCATATGCTCCAGAAGAGCTATGATGGACAAATTCTGAGCTAGCAAAGTTCAATCAACATATATACGAATCACATCTAGCTACCCTTTTGCAAAGGCCTAGCAATAAAAAAATAATGCTCTGCCCTCATACCTTCCAACTCGATGTGCCTTGATTTCCTATCAGGACACATCACTGCAAACCCTTGCAAACTTTTCAGTTTAAAAGGACTGAAGTGAGCTACAATCTGAAGGAATTACCACAAACTTTAACAGACTACCATAAATCTCAATCTGCAACCAACACGTTCATTCCTTCCTGAATGTCTTCTGCTTTCTGGACTAAGCTGATAAATATCACCATGAGTTCTAAGCCTGATTAAAAAGGATCAGTTTGTCTTATTCTGGTAAAATCAAAGCATATTATTTCTCACCAAAATTGTCAGACTTCTTTGGCTTCTCATGCTAGCGTCCATCAGTTAGAGCAGCATTTTGCAAATCTCCTTCCTCAACACTAAGTTAATTTACCTTCTCCTCCAGTCCCCAAAAATAAGTAACTAGCAAATGCTTGGGGAGAAAACACTGCTGTCAGACCCACAATCTTGTGTTATACCAGTCAACATGATTTGTAGGTGCACTCACATATCTAGATCCATTTTCCAGTTATACTTACGTCAGCTTTAATCTTTTAATGTGACCTGGCATCACAGGAACATACAGCATTTTGACTCCCTGTACAACCATAGTTGGTTCAATTCCGTATTTCTCCTGGAATTCACAAAGCACATTAAAGGACTGCGCTGACTGCACAGACCAGCAGGTACAACTGATGTTCATACTACATCTAATGACTGAAAACTACAGATCTCAGGCAGAAAATATGCTAATGCATGGACACTGATGTGTTATTAATATACAATTGAACAAGTGGATTAACAAAGAACTTGGGATGTATTTTACTTAGACTCAACCTCCCATTAACATCAATTTTTTCTAGAACTATTCTGGTTTAAGTAATAATTTGACAAATGCAAAAAAGCCAATAACCCCAAACAAGAAGATTCTATCTTCTCATCTTGCATTAACCCAGTGCAATAGGTATCTTACTCTGACAGCGTTTATGAAGTCCAACAGTGTAAAATCCTCCTTTCCATAAATTGTCCACCTGTCCCAGATGGTAAATGATATCCCATTTCTGTTTTGAAGAAAGAATGATTCTTTGTTACTTTAGAATGTGAACTCAGGCATTTTCTTTAACTATATATCAAAAAATTGCTACCTCTTCCCATGATTTGCAGTTTTATCTTAATCTCTTCCCTCCCTGATGCCACTTCTCCAGCTCTTTCACCTGCCTAAGCACAAGACAAAACCTGACTCCAAGTGAACACAGTATTGGGTAATGAATTTTCTGTTTTCAGGCCTGTTGAAAAACAGGTTTTGTACTGACCACATGTTGCAGTCTGAGCATGCAGGATGTTTATTAATAAGCAGGTGACACATTTATCTCATCTAGATTTTTAGAGCCTAGCTACCAACAGCTTCCACTAAAAACCAAAATAAACCCTTAAAACCACTAGTTTTAAAATTAGGACAGAAGTGTTTATCAGCTGCATTTCCAAACAAGGAGTTCTCAAGAGATGCATTATGGGACATCCTTGGCAGTACTGAGAATTTCAGTTACACTGTTAGTAGTAAATAGCTAATGGAGCTTGATAGCAAGCACTAAGTGACCAATCTTCAACCTCAAATATCTGTAACATTTGACCAGAATTTGAATGCGAACTTTGATTCCACCGTATTTCTGCTACACGCACACATACAGCACTGATCTGATTGTGAACTTAATAACTGTACATGTCTTGCACTTGTTTTAAGTGAGAAATAGCATGCTTCCAGAATATTACCCTTCTACCATCATCCTTCCTACCTGATTTCAGTTCTTCTTACTTTAGCTGTTTCTGTGAAGACCATTATGGGAATGGCTAGGTTCAGAAAACAGTTCTTGTATGCATCAGCTGGGTAGCCACCCACAACTTTGATGAGTTCCAGTGCAACCTGCAATAAATAACAATCAACAAGTTTCCTAAGACCAAAAACAGGTGTTGTATCATCAGCACTAATTTAGTTAACAGACCACACAACAATAAGCAATATGCGTTGTTGAGATGAGCCTTTGTACAACCCACAGATTCAATCGCATATGAAGATGCAAACCAAATACGCCACAGAAACCAACTCTGCTGCAATTACTTAAACTGTTCAGAAATACTCCTTCTGCAGGAACTCCTCCAAACTTTTCCAATTCTAGACACTCCCAACAAAGCATGTAGTTCTGTTGAGGTGCATGGATGTGAACTACTGCGGAACAGATCCTTACTACTCTTGACGCTGGCACTCTGATGGAAGCTGTTAAGCGCAGAAAACAAACCAAAACTCTATTATTCCTCTTTCTGGACAATGAGAAAGGAAATCAGGAAAGGATCAGAAACAAAAGCACTGAGGGTTGACTACAGCTAAAACCAGACTGACTTTCTGTACTGCTACACAAGAAAAATTGAAGAATATGTCCCAGTTTTGACCACGGTAGTAGCAGATGTAGTGCTGTGATTTAAATTTAGGAGGAAAACAGTGCAGATACTACACTGAAGTTTGAGTTGTTGCCGAGCAGTACTTACACTAAGTCCAGGACATTTCAGCCTCTTGTACCATCCTGCCAGTGAGGAGCAGGGGGTGCACAAGGAGATGGGTGGGAATAGAACCAGGACAGCCAACCCAAACTGGCTAAAGGGATATTTCATACTGTATGGTGCCATGCTGAACAATAATACTGGGGAGAGTCGTTCAGAGACTGGCTGAGTGCTGGTTGGCAGGTGGTAATTAGGAGTGCAGGGAGAAAAAGGGAAGTGATGTACAACCCTTCTTATTCAACCCTTACCACAACCCAAGAGTTTTACCTTTTTTCCCCTAAATCACTCAGCCAACCCACTGCAGGGGAATGTGCAAAATGGGTGTGTGATGCTCAGCTGCCTGCTCTGCCAGGTTAAATCACAACGAAATCCATGTTTGAGATAAAAGTATTTATTACCTATCAGACTAATAACTACCATTATAGTAGAGATCACAATTACGTATTCATACTGATTTTTAAGCCCGCTTCTTAAATGAGGTTCTGTCAGCATAGCATTAACAAATATCCAGATAGCAGTGGTTTTAGGCAAAGAACAGTAACTGAAAGAAATACTACATTCACTATTTTTAGAAGCATACTCACCAGCCCTGAAACTGCAGCAGTAGCTGTTGCAATTGCAGGAATAATCTTGCCAGCAATGCGCTTTGTTTTGAATCTATCAGCTGGTTCAATGTTGTACATCTTGGCTCGCAAGTTTGATGCAGCTGTTATGAAATCTACATGTCCGTTACTATCGTCATCTTTTTCAAAGGCAAGGGGCTTCATTTCTAAGTCATCTGTACGTGGGTGAAAAGCAAAAATGATTATCAGAAAAACGAAGGGGTCCTAAGCTTAAGTTACAGGCAATTAGAACTTCAACAGATATTTCTCATGTTCTGGACCTTGGTACTCAACTTATAATTGTACTTGCCTTTCCATGCTAGAAGGGGAAATTCCCATACCAGCACCTGCCATGGTTATTGTTAGAAGTGAGCAACACATGAATTATCAAGAGGTCCAGAATACTGTTTTCCTTTCAACACCATGAATTAATTTTGGATGGTCCTGTGGATGTTTCTTATTAAACTCTACTCATATAGCTCTTCTCCTATGAGAATTCCCTCTATGAGCTTTGTTCATCTGCAACTATATTGGTATGAACTCAGAAGCATGGTAGACAGAGATTAGGGCTCTCCATGGGATGGGCCAGAGCTAAAATAAT